AACCACATGAAACCGACCGGAATTCACCGGAAAAAGGCGCGAAATTTCCGGTCGGAATACTGCTTCCATGTTCCAGTGATTTCCGGTGCTTTCCTGTGGGATCTGGTGTTTTTTCCGCGGCTTTCCTGCAGGATCCCAAGGGATCCGGACGCCGTAACGTACGACATGGGATTGAACAGAAGTTCGAATCTATTGCTTTTTTATTATTTTATAGAATATTGCCGGTAAGAATGAGAATAAATGTTGCGAGCAAAGTTATTGATATTTTTATTTTTTATTTGAAAAGCAAACTAGTGCACATGTGATATTGATGGGTTGTCTCGTTCTGCAAATCTTTGTAAGTAAACGCTATTTAAGGGTATGTTTGGTTTTATGTAAAGGTGTAGTCGGACCAGAAAAATTCATTAGTTACGTAGATGATGTCATGTTTGAGAACCACCGCAGTGTGACGATTAAATAGAACCGCATAAGCCTTTGCGTATTTTGAAGCGAGATTCTATAATTTCCAATTGATTTGCACAAATCAGTGAATAAAAGATTCATGTTTTGTTCGGCAAAGTCTGACAATCGGTTGATTTAGTTATGGTGCATGCATTAATCAACTTTTCCTGTTTACATGTAGCATTGCATCAGTATAGTCGACCTAGGTCAAACATGATGCTAGGCGTTCACGAAGCGTGCCGATGGTTTGATTATCAGAGAAATACAAATAGAACTGAGTATACAGTGATAGCTGCTACAGAAAGTTAACCCTAATTGACAGAGTAAACAACTGGTTATATACTCAGTACTGATTTTAGTCAGTCTGCTTTATAGTAAATATATGAATACTTGACTTTTTTTATTAATCATAATGATAATGGTTAAATTCGCGGTAAACATTAATGCGAGATTTTTTCTTGGTTTAATTCATATGGCAGAATAAGAGCCTTTATGTCGTAGTGAGCTTTATTGTCTGTAGGATATAGAGCGAAGCTGTTTGATTTTCTAAATGGTAGAGTGGAAAAAATGAGAAGTTTTCAGTCACAACGACGCATTGCATCATGTAGTCAGCTATTACCTGTTGGGCATTATAATCAGGATTTGTAATTGCAGAGAGAACAGTATGTTGATTTACCTATACGTTTATTTATTTCTTCGTCTGAAAACCGGATGAGATTTAAGCAAAATGCATAGATATATCACTGGACATCCGATTAGTATGAGCGAAAGAATTCGATGACCAGGTAGTAATAGAAAAGCACAGGAATGCAAAGTGAACAGTAATGGAATGATCGAGCTGACAAGATGGTCACAGTGAAATATTTGTACAAATTGTTTCAATTGATAGTCATTGTAAATTGCTAGATATGAAACAACTTATTAGGATAAAATAGAAGTAATCTTTATTCGAAGAAATGATAAGATCGTAAACAAAGATCCAGTTAGTTTTTTTACAAGGTGATGATTGTATTGGATTCTCAATCATATTGTAAAGCCAGATGGTGTTTCATGCGGATGGTCCTACTAAGTGAATAAAAATCAAAGTCGGACTGTATTACATGAACGAATACAAATAAACAGTACCTTGTTTGATTTGCTTCTCTTCATTGATTGTTTGAAAACTATTAATGAAGCCAGTGTGTTGATAAAAAACGAACGGAATATTTACACCAACGAGCAGATTCAAGTTTGCGTTCACATCGACAGAAGCTTTATCATTTTTTTTTCGGTTGAACAATATCGTTCAAAAACGTCGATATTGTATCTGTTGTTGCTTTAAGATTGTACTCTTCATTAGTAAATGTGAATATTTTTAGTTTCACATAAAAATCTTCTACGTTCCGTTCTTTTGATAGCCGACAACGACAATCATTGCATGAGAACAGATTTTCGGTCTCGGTAATGTTCATGCCACCACAACCTTGACATTTGTATTCATCATTGATTGATTCAACCGAGACGATTTGACCTTTATTGGCTTTCGATAAATTTCCATGATGACCGACTTCTTCAACAACATCACAAAGATCATCGATCTTCAGAAATCTGAAAACATTGGAAAATATCCTAATATATTCTATAAATGACGACGAGATACAGACGATGTATCAGACGTAGCATTCAATGAAACTTGATCGTTGAAACACGGATTTTCAATAAGCGAATATGATAAGAATTTCCGAGAACTATTTCGTTGAAGTTGTTTTCCCACAATGTCAATTCTAACGCTCCAGTAGAGTCACCTATGATGGCAGTTTTTTTTCATTTTTTGTGTACGTTTGAATTCGTTCTGGTCAACGATAATTGGAATTGGATCAGTAAGATGACAAATCTTTGCTTCGACTGTGCACATATGATTATCAATAGCTGTTTGTAAAGTACAAATATTTGCCGTTCTAATACATTCTGGTCGAAAATCTAAATGTTTCTCTACTATTTTGGTTGAAACTGTACATGCATACTGGCCATTCTGCTCTCGTAAACATGTAATTGATGCACCGTTGCCGGTTCGAAAAGACTGTTTCAACTGATTGAATAACGAGCATGAGGCAATTTTTCCAAGGTACTTGACAACTCGAACAGTCGATTGATCCTCGAGACATATGATAAATGAATAATGATGATTATCATTCGAAGCATTCTTCGTTATATTGTTGATATGGATTACATATCCATTCAGAGATAGCAACGACGAAGATGCTGATGGAACAGAAGCAGCACAGGCTATGTTACGTTTCATTGAACAAACTGTATTTGAAACAAAACTGAGATGATCAACAAAATGAAAAATGAAAATGCGCGTTTTTTCAACTACAATCAGTCGAAATAAATTTCAGATGTTTGCTTCTAAGAAAAGACAAAGTCGAATTGAGTACGCGATGCTCGATCTAGCTTTTTCGTCGACAATATAAAATAATGGGTGGAGATCTTAGGTACTAATCATACAAGTCACCTTCATTTGTTTGCTCGACAAAATCTGTTGCTGAGGGGTAGCAAGACGATGAGCGGATGTTTCTGATTCCGTTTTTTTGTTTAAAATAAGAAACGTTTGCATGAAAGTATAAGCATATCGCAAGCGATTGTATTTAGATTTTTATAGAATGAATCTCTTTCTACACTCGTGTTTTGAATACAATGATCAACGGCAAGAGAATGATTATGCAGAAATATGCTTTGTAGGCAATGACGTTTTTCGTTTGTTTTTGCAACGACGCAGAAAATTTATTTCTCACTGATGCAATCGCATAGTAAATATGATTCTTATATGAAGCAAATGTGAAATGGACTTCAAAGACGGGAAATGGGCAAATGAAAGCGAATACCACGTGATGGATTCGGTGACTATCTATTTTATATTTGAATTACTACCGTCAATGTCCAACAAAATTCTGGCGGTGATGAGAATGTCACACAGATATGAATATATATAAGTAATTAATAAATTAGGTGAGTGCGAATTTGACCTACTTCAATCGAAGCGTTTGTCACAAAAAGGCGCATATTTATATGAATTTAAGATCTAATTCTTGATTAATATCTTGAATTTCTGTTGTAGTTGTTTTTTGTTTATAAAGAATTTCTGTTAGTTTTCAAAAAATGGCAGAAGAAGACGACGAGAATAACGATTTTGAGTTAGAGCATTGTCTAACCTCAGAAAACTTGGTAACCGAACCAAATATGCAATCTGCTTCCAATCTAGGTGTTACAAAGATATTGAAAGCAAATCGGAATTCAAAGCCTTCGCAAAAATGCAAAGCAAATCGGAATTCACAGCCTTCACAAAAATGCAAACCAAATCGGAATTCGAAGCCTTCGCGCAAACAGAAAGCTAATCGAACTTCAAAGCCTTCTCAGAAACGCAAAGCAAATCGAAATTCAAAACCTTCGCGAAAACGGAAAGCTAATCGTTACTCGAAAATGTCAAACACGAACTATAAAGAGAAAAATGCACAAGTATCAGAATCAGATGAAATGAATGAACATGTAAAAGTTTTGAAAAAAAGTATTCAAAATCGTAATGAGAGAAGTTTATGTGAACAAGAAGATGCGTGTAGGTTTGATCTAGTTATTGGGACACATGATCGAACTAGTATCGATTTAGATTGGTTGACTGATACAGGTTACACGGAAGAAAATTTAGAAGCAGAGACTATATACAACGTACTGAACGAAAGGTTTTCCGTTTTCTCAGTTCTTGCATCTACTAGAGAGAAAATTTATTGCTCAGATATTTTTCAACTATTCTTCAACGGTGGCTGGCGTGTTCTTGTTGTCGATCATTAAATCCTGAGAGTCAGTTCGAAAGAGCAACGCATAAACACATAATGCAACACGATGTTAAGGAAGGAGATTTGTTGTGTAAGAAATGCATTCGATTTATAGCATCAGAAGATCGTCCTTATTGTTTGTTTGGACGATCGAAAAACAAATTGGAAATATGTACAATTCCGGATGAATTGAACTTGGGTTTCATGGAACAACGTGCTATTAGTTTATCACACGTGTTGTGACGAAGGATATTTCCGTAGTCAGAAAAGATCGCTATATGAAGACCTCTGGTTTATTAGATGAAAAACGTTACATATATATGTGCAAAAACGGTTGTCAGGATAACAAGGATTGGGAGAGATCCAAGTGATGTCATGCATACATGTGAGAGAACGAACATATACGTATGACGTCACGAACATATGATATGAGAGAANTATAAACAATAAGCCATCAGTAGGGTCGAGAAGAATTTGCCACCTTCCTCTTATTTGACACTACCATCGGATGGGTGAACTAGTTGGAATTTAGTTGATAAGACGGATTCGTGAGACATGCACCTTTTCGACATGACCATCATTGACATGTTTGACTAAATAGTTGAGACGACCGATTTGACGTAGCACTGCAAAAGGGCCATAATATTTTGGTGAAAATTTCTTCAGATGCTTAGGCATCATTTGTTTGAGAAAAACTAATTGATTCGGTTGAAGTGGGGAGAGATCTTTCCGTCCAGTATCGTAGGTTCGTTTATAGATATCTTGTTGTTGTTTGATTCTGTACCATGCTGTGGATTTCGCTTGTTGCAGAAATCTAATCAGTTGGTTATAATAATCGCTAGCCACAGGTAAGTTCGAAATTGAAGAGTTGACATCGAATGGAAGAATAGCATCACGACCATACATCAATTTGAAAGGTTCCATTTGAATAGTTGCTTGTTTGGCTGTGTTATATGCGAAAGTGACAAATGGTAAGTAGCAGTCCCAATCGCTTTGTTGTTGATTGACGTAGGTTCCCATGGAGTCGACCAAAGTGGAATTGAACCTTTCAGTGAGTCCATTGCATTGTGGGTGATACGTGGTAGTAGTTATGTGATTGATACCGCACCTTGAAGCAATGGCTTCGAATACGTGTGACATGAAATGTGAGCCTCGATCAGTTAGAAGCTGTCTAGGAACCCCAAAACGTAAAATAACCTGCTCAACTAAAAACTTAGCTGCTGTTTCTGCTGTACAATTCTTTGTAGCCTGGGTAATAGCATATCGTGAGAGATAATCCGTACATACTAAAATGTACTTGTTTCCACTCGAGGACGAAGGAATTGGTCCCACAAAGTCTAGACCCATCATATCTAAAACGCCATTCGGTGGTTCGATCGGTTGTAATTTACCGACTGCTTTTGTTCGCGATGTTTTGAAATGATTGCATTGAGTACAGGATGAAATATACTTTTTAATTTGGTTATACATACCGGGCCAGAAATATCTATCACGAATTTTGTGCCAGGTTTTGTGGATACCCAAATGACCAGCTGTAGGATTATCGTGATACGCCTCAAGTAGAGGATTAATCATAGATGGAGGTATATATGGTACGGTCAAGGTGATGTTTCCAGGACGATGGATAATCTTAAACAGAACCTCCTTTTCTATTGAATATGATTGTTTGTATTTGCCACGTAGAACTTCCTCATATAAGCTGTGAATGAAAGTATCTTGCCGTTGCTCTTCTTTGATTTTTGAGGAATCAAACGTTGGCAAAATAGCCATTATTTCGTGACCAAGTTGGCCATGCATTAGTTGTTGTTGTTCATCGACGAGATTATCGGGAGTTTCGGTTGGATAGCGTGACAAACAATCGGCAACACAGTTAGAGGATCCCGAGGTGTATTTAATATTGAACGTATATTCCTGGAGTTGTAATGACCAGCGATCTAGGCGCCCATTTTTAGAGGATTGTTTATTGAGCCAACACAATGGATGATGATCGGTGATGAGAGTGAAGTCACGACCATATAGATATGGCCGAAGTTTACTGATACACCAGACCATCGCCAGACACTCTTTCTCAATGACTGAGTATTTCTGTTCTTGTTTAGATAATGATCTCGATAAGTACTGAATAGGTTGCAAGTGACCATCGGCTGTAACTTGGTGAAGAACGCCACCGATACCCGCATTCGATGCATCCGTGTTGATTTTCAATTTCAATGGTGATTGACCATCGAAAAAGGCAAGTAAAGGATATTGAGATAGTTTTTGTTTCAAAATATCAAATGATCTCTGACATTCCGTTGTCCAAAGGAATTTAGCATTCTTAATCTTGAATCTATTCAGGGGAGCGGCAATGCTAGCAAAGTCCTTGATAAAGCGGCGATAAAATTGAGCCATCTGGACGAAAGAGTAGGCAGCTTTGGCAGTTGTCGGGATGGGAAAATCAATGGTCTTTTTGACATTCGCAGTGGTCGGTTTAATACCGTCTTGTGTAATACGAAATCCTAAGTAATCTAACTGTTTGCGAGCTAGAGAACATTTCTTCGAATTCAGCTTGACATTTGCTTTGTGTAATGCGCAAAGCACTTGGTCCAGATGTTGAATGTGTTGATCAAACGAAGGTGAGTAGACGATAGTGTCGTCTAAATACACCAGCGTGATATCCCATCTAAGCGAACCCAAGACAGAGTTGATTGTGCGCTGAAACGTGGCAGGTGCGTTGGATAACCCAAAGGGCAGCACGTTGAATTCGTATAAACCATCAGTGGTAATAAACGCCGTTTTCTTTTTATCTTCTTCGGCAATAGGTATTTGCCAGTACCCTGCCTTGAGGTCAAAAGTCGTAAAATAGCGCGAACCGGCTAATTTATCTAGAATATCATCAATTCTGGGTAGTGGATAGACATCTCGTTCTGTGATCAAATTAAGTCGGCGATAGTCAACGCAAAAGCGTGGACTACCGTCTTTCTTCTTGATAATGACCACCGGCGAAGACCAAGGACTAGTACTTGGACGGATGATATGACTATCCAGCATTTCGGTTACTTGCTCATTGATGATTGTTGTTTCCTTAACTGATTTTCGGTATGGATATGATTGAATAGGTTGATGGTGTGGTTGAACTGGAATGCGATGGTGTACATTATTGGTTTTCATAAGAGAAGGGGCTGTTGTATCAAAAACGGATTGATATTTCTGCAATATCGGCAAGATCTGTTTTTGTTGATATTGAGGTAAATGCGAAATCATATTAGGAATGTGCGTGACTGTACTTGTCTTGGTGGAACTCATATCTGTTGCAATTGTCGAAATAGATTGGTGGTCGTGAACGGTAAGAGGCTGAATGTAATGGCAACTACTATCAGAGCAATAACTGACAAAACCAAGTTTGGTTCCTTTTTTGATTGTTTGAGTACTGGGGGATGGAGTCATTAGAGTTAGCGTGGTTTGACTATTGTCAATTGATACCAACGCATGTGGTGCAATGATCATTTGTCGGTTCAGGATCTTTGAAGACGGAGTGAATATCGCTGTTGACCATGGGGCCGACGTTGAAGCTATTACGACTCGTCCTGAGAGTGGTGGGATTGTAATATCATATAGAGTATTGATGTTACAAACTTGGGATTTGTTAGAGGGATTCAGAAAACTCACTTTCGTATATTGATGTTCCGTTTTTATTGATAAAGTTCTTTTATGGGAATCAATGCGCGCTTTGAATAGGTTACAAAAATCGTTTCCTAACAATAGTTCAGTGCAAAGATTCTCAATGATGAAAACGTTGATGGGCACTTGGATGTTATTGATTGTTATTGGTAGCACCACCCGTCCAATTGTCGACAATTGAGTATTATTCGCTGTTTTGCATGATGTTGTAGATGAGTATACTGTATAGTTGTGGTTTAATTTGCGGAAATAATCTTGATTAATAGCCGAAATTGTAGATCCTGTATCGACCATAGCTCGAGCGTCAATAGAGTCAATACTGATCGGAATATAAATAAGTTGTGATGGATTTGGTGGGGTACGGGTGACACTACCATCCTGCGGCACCCTGATTAGTTTAAATGACTTGGACATTGAGAAGCATAATGTCCAATGCCATGACAAGTATAGCAAACCAATTGAGATCCCTGATTTCGTGGTTTCCGATAAGTCGAATTAGTATATCCATATTGATTCCATCTAGGATAGGAAGAGTATCGTTTGTTTTCATTATTGGATCTGACTTGGCGATGGGTGTTGTTGATAGAGGTCTGTCGAAGTGCCGCTGTGGTTTCGTCGATATCTGCCTGTGAAGGCGGGGATGGTAAAACAGGTTGACTCATTTTTGTGGCTGCTTCTGTTCTTTTCGCGTGCTCAAATAGATCCTGACATGTCTTTGGATTGTTCAATATAACATGTTGTTGGATTGATGGTTTTAGACCGCGAACAAGATATAAAATCTTTTCGTCTTCGGTCATAGTTGGATTGTAACGGGCACACATGGCGAGCATATCGAAATGATAAGCTTGTACCGATTCATCCGCGCCTTGACGTCGATTCATTAATTTAGTTGCAATTTGTAGTTGTTGGACTGATGAAGTAAATGTGGTAATAAAATCCTTCTTAAATTCATCATAGTCCTCGTTGTGATTTTCACTACGAAACCACTTCTTGACATCTTCACCGAAATACATCGGAAGGAATAGACGTCGATCCGCTTTCGAAATTTTGATCGCATCGAATAGTTCGTCGATAGATTGTAACCAAGTAGTTGGATCTTGGTCATCTGATCCTTTGAATAGTTCGATGGTTTGAATGCTTTTTAACAACAACTGCGTTGGTAAGTGAGATGCCATAATACGTTTCGCCTGATTTGTTTGAAGTTTTGCTTGATATTGCGCAAGATTAGCTTGTGCTTGGTCGTCGGTTGTATTACGTGTTTCCACCAGTCTGGAGATTTGCTAATCCGAAGTCAGCGAAGCTGTTTGTGATGATGAATTGACAAACGCTTGGCCAGTGCACCAATGTGACGAAGGATATTTCCGTAGTCAGAAAAGATCGCTATATGAAGACCTCTGGTTTATTAGATGAAAAACGTTACATATATATGTGCAAAAACGGTTGTCAGGATAACAAGGATTGGGAGAGATCCAAGTGATGTCATGCATACATGTGAGAGAACGAACATATACGTATGACGTCACGAACATATGATATGAGAGAATGGACAAATCCATGTATATATATATGTGACGTCATGTGAATGAACCAACATCTGCTATCAGCTGTTTGACCGACATCCTAACAGTGTACATGAGTATTATTCTTGTCCGTGGTCACCAAGCAGCATTAAAAGGACAAGTGGTTCATTTCCATGTTGACACGGATGTGGTAGTTGAACAAATATTACCGTTTCCTCGTTGTTACGAATTCTTAGCAGTTGTTCAAGAAAAACCAATGAAGAATGACCAAATTACTACGACTGTCACATATTCTTTTAGTCCTGTACAAGTACTGCAAGCATTGAACTATTTGAAGGAACATAATCATTTGTACTGCGAAAAGCAGATAATGACAAAAGATGAAATAGAGAAGTTGTTTAAATGTCAAGCTGAAAACATTGTACCGATTAAAATAATCGATAGTTATGCATATAATAGTTCGACAACAATAGCACCGATTATAAATTCCGGCGATCTTTTATGTGGTCCAAAGTAGCTTGTGACATCTCGTAATGCACTTTCATCATATATTTTTGGCGTACCATGTTGTGTGCAAAAGATGCTGTATGGCAGATTGAGCCATATTTAGAAGAACGGGCGTATCCTTGGCTATATCCATTGGGAAAAGGTGGTGAAGCTGATCCTGAGCGACCTATAGCGTTGAATTTACGAGAATACTATAAGCTGAGATTGAAATCGGATGATAATCGTTGGCAAAAAGATCCAACGTGGATTTTTAGAGCACTTAATGTGTTACAACGAGAAGATTTGCGTAGATCAGTTAATTTTCATGCAAAGAAAAGTTACTTGAACGGGAAAATGTGTTATTTAATATATCCAGGTATGTTAATTCGTATTTAGCACGAATTAAATAAGAATTTCTTGATGTGCCAATAAAGAAGTTTATCATTGTAAATTTTGCAGATATCGGTGTAGTTATTCGGGGATCTTCTGCATTTTGGAGTAAAGCAAGAAGGCATCTAAGAGCAATGTATGCTACTTTGGGGAAGCCGTTCATTTTTCTCTCCATTAACTTGCAAAATGATACCGAATTTTTAACCAACATTGACCCTGAGAAATTCGGCACACCAAATATTCCAAATTGGGATGCAATTAATGCTCTGAGTAGTGATGAATACTTGACACTGGTAAACGAAAATGCAGGCTTAGTCGCACGAATGTGTAAACGTCGAATGGCCGCTTTTGAAGAATACATCAAGAATAAAGAGCATCCTTTTCTTATTGATTATATTGTGTCGAATTATTTTTTTAAAACTAAATTTCAGCGAGATGGGCTGCCACATTTACATGCGCTGATATGGGTAGAAAGTCCGCCGTCGGCTGAAACAGTTGAAGGTCGTGAAATAATAATTAAGTTTGTTGACAAGCTACTAACAACGGAATTACCAGATAAGAATCTTCAGCCCGTGTTGTATCACTTAGTTGTAAAGAATCAACTTCATATGCATACATTCACTTGTCATACAGGTAAAAGGTTTAAAATTGAGTCGTGATTATTATTTTCATCATTGCAATGAGAAGAACCTATAGTAAAAATTCGACGTGGAAAAAAACGATTAAACAGTAATAAACAGGCAAATGCAGAAAAACTTAAAGAAAATCTGTGTAATTATAATCGGGATCATGAAGATGACCTTTACGAAAAAGTCAATGCAGATGAAGATGTTGATATGATTCGTACAGCGGTGGAGAGAAAAGAATTTTTTGAACGGGCAGGCTGTCGATTTTCGAAACCTGAGGGATTGGCTTTGGAGACTCATTTTCGAACGTATCAAGAAGCAAGAATTTTGACTCGCGGTGACCGGGACATTATTATGAAGAGAACAACTGAGGCAGTAAAAGTTTTTAATCGTGTTTATACAAATTTTTGAAAAAGTATTTAGTCTCGTCGGATTGTTCCTTACAACGTTAATTTGCTCAAAACGTTCAGATGCAATCATGACATCCAGATTGTCACTGATCCATGGGCGGCAGCTGAGTACCTTTTCTCATATGTTAGTAAAGAAGCACGTATGGAGAAAGATCTTGTATATAAACTAGCTGGGTGTACATGCTCTACGTTGGAAGAAGCACGAAAAGTCCTGTTAAAAGCTGGCAATGCTGTTCTCTCACATAGACAAATAGGGAAAATTGAAGCTTCTTGGCTAATTCTAGGTAAAAAATTGACGTTTGTTATGTTTTGATTTGTTTTTGATGGACAGGCATACCTCTCTATCGATGTTCAATGGCCACTGTTCATATATATATATCTTTACCATGTGATGAGGATCGTTTATTAAAGAATAAAAGTATCGATGCTAATTGTATTAGCGAAGATGATTTTGTAAAAACAATCATACAACGATACTCACAGCGACCTTCAGAACCCTCTGCGATTGGTAATATGACGTTATTTGAATTCGCAACTTGGTTCACCAGTGAGTATGTTGATTCACAAGATGAAAGTGCTGATTATGAGGAATTGGAATGTAATCACTTATGGCGAACTAATTATAATGAACCACCTCTTGTTAAAAGATCAAGACGTTTGCCGCGTATTATTCTTACATCTGGTTATAAAATGCGGCAACATGAACATCCGAAATGTGTGACATTTACTTGTTTACATGATAATCCAGTTCAATCAATATATTGTATTTTGTGTTTAAATATTCCGCATCGAAATCCAATAAATGAGTTTCTGGCTGGCAAACAAGGTTTGAATTAAAATTGGAACATGAAGATTGGACGAACATTTTTCTTGTAGAACCTAATGTTGAAGAATTATACCAACTTCTCCTGTGTCGTAAATCGGAAATAACAAGCAATATTTTAAGACTTCCTGAAAGCTGCAGAATACAACTACGGAACCTCGTTGATCATCTGATGAATATCAACACCAACGATTTCAAAATTGATTATAAAGAGTCTTATATATTTACCAATCCGAACGAAATGGATCTGGAGCATGATGACACAGACAGAATGAAATCAAAATGTGATGATAGTTCGGAAAATGTAATAATAAATGATGGGTTCGATACCTTTGAGGAAAACCGTGGTGAGATAACGCCAAAATCAGGATCGTTAAAACAGCTTCGTGATTCGACAAATCCGCAGCAAAAATATTTACTTGATTTTATTCAAAACTATTTTGACTGTGTATTGAAGCACGTTAGACGTCCAACACAAGCTATCAAACCAAAACCATTTCACATTGTTGTTAATGGTCTTGCTGGCTCTGGTAAATCGTATGTTATTACAATAATTGAAAAGATGATGAAAGAATATTGTATTGCTGAATCTGCTGGAATTTCACGTGCTCGTAAGAACTTTGGCCTGTTGAAAATGGCTCATACTGGTAAAGCTGCGTTGAATATTCAGGGATATACAATTCATTCTGCTTTATCCATTGTATGCTAGTATTTGTCCTCTAATCAGTTTGTAACAAACAGTTTTTAGTGTCCGGATGGTAATTCATCTCCAAATAGTTTGAATTCGTTCAAATTATATACACTACGGAACCGATTAAGCGGTTTATTATTGATTATTATAGATGAAATTTCGCTGGTGTCGCATGGGTTATTTCAAAAAATCAACAAGCGATTGAATGAGATATTTATGACATCAGATCAATCTGACGTTTACTTTGGCGGAATTTCGGTTATCGTTTTCGGAGATATGGCTCAAATAGAACCTGTAGCTGCAAAGCAGGTATTTTTTCGTCCGAAAGGTGAAATTGTGTCTTTATGGCATGATTTATTTCGTGCTATAAATTTTGATATTAATATGAGACAAGGAGATGATCGAATTTTTTTCGATTCCTTATGTCGCATGCGCAAAGGTATGCAAAATTATGATTATTCGTTTTGCAAAAACTTATTCGACTATTCATAGGATGCTTGGATGAGCAAACTGAAGCGTTGATTAAATCAAGAAGCGTTCGTAAAGAAGATAATCCTGATAGTTATCACGAAAGGCTTGAAGAGCTACATTCGAGCGAATTCAAAGATGCTATACATGTTTATGGTACTCGTAGATTGACAAATTCAAGAAACTTTGAAAGATTAAAAGAACACATGAGAGAAACAAAATATCCAGTTTTTATGGTAAATGGAGTAGATGTATGTGATCTCTATTTTTTTTGCTCGTATTAATTGACTGTGAATCGATTGTACAGAGGGTTGCAATGGTCGATAATTCGTTTTACAAAGTCAATAATGCAAGTAACAAAACTTGCAAAATAAAACTAAAACCGTCAAGTGATGAAAATAAATGTGGGTCGTTATACGTTCGTTTTCCGATATGTGTTGGTGCACGAGTTCTGATCAGACGGAACATCGACCAAGAACATTATATTGTAAACGGAACCGATGGTATCATCAAAGAAATTGTATGGGAAGATGCCAGAAACTTTCTTTCACCAGCACTCATGATAGATGACATATTTTCTTCGTTAAACAATGTGATTCACACAAAATTACCGAAACATGTAGTAGTTGGTAATATGGATAACTCAATAAGGTTTGGATTGTACACATCAGTTTCTATTAAGAATTAGAGAATGGTCGAGAATATAAAATCAAACCTGAAGAAACCCGGTTCAAAGACATGAATAATGTGAATATGACTCGTTTACAATTGCCATTTGCTTTGGGTTATGCTATTACAATACATCGAACTCAATGCATGACATATCCCAAAATGGTGGTTGATTTAGCAGGCAAATATTGGAAACCCGGAATGTTTTATACAGTTTTAAGTAGAACTCGACGTATAACGGACATTATTTTATTGGCTTACGATAGGAAATCTTTCAAAGTGATGCATTTTCTAATTGGACGTTAACAGTAATTAAATTTGTCATAGGTATCCGGAGAAGGCTTACAAGAAATTGTACGATTACAAAAAAAAACAAGAAGAAGATCCTATCAAAATTGATGACTACGTTCATAACGTATTAGAAGAACATAAGTTTTTCTCAAATAGACCTATTTTATCTGCGTAGATAACTGATCATCGTTTGAACGTCGATTATGCAAATCAGGCATTTTCTGTGCAGGAAGAGAATCACAAAAGAAAATGTGATCAGCTTTTTGACGCTGAAGACAATGAACGCTCTAAAATAGTGGCAAACTTAGATATGGGTGAATCGGATCATCACCTCTATATCGATTTTATTCCGGAAGATTTCATCGTTTGCGAAAAACAGCAAAGACTTTTCTGTGGTCGTCATGCGCTGCGAGCACTTTGCAGAATATCACAATATTTGATGATCAACTTTTGCAGAGTTTAGGCGAAGAGTTAGCAGCACATGAGTCAATCATACGAAATGATATCTATACGACAGATGATCAATATTACAATACTCATAGTGGATATTATAATATTCAAGTTATCCAAGAAGCTCTAATTAGGCAGTGTAATATAGAGTTGATACAATGGAATGGATTAAACAGAAGTTCATCGCCGGTTTACGAAAAGATTATTAACAATATTGAATTTATACAAGGCCTATTCATTTATCAACGAGAGCATTACTTTTGTCTGAGACGATTTGACAATACACCAGACTATTTTTTTATTATTAATTCTTTGAAACCTAAGTGTCATCAGATCATCAAAAAAAACCAAATTCAAGAATATATAAAGTATATACATGAAGATGGTGGCTCTATTTATATACCTGTTTCGCGTGATATTGTGCATTTGCAAACGATGTCTGCTGATCTGATTCTCTCGTTAATCCATCCATTACCACCATCAGAAGCGGACAAAATTAGTTTTAAAATAGATGAGACAAGATTTTTCCTTTCAAAACCCTAAACTGTGACGATAAATATGAAATTTAAAACGAATATGACTTTTAGTTCCGATTGGAGTATTAGTGAGAATCGATTATGAATATCTATATGGAATAGTATTTTGAATTGTAGAACATTGAAGCGTTTTGTTTATTTCATTGATTTCGTCTTGTTATGAACAATTTTAGTTTTCGTACGGTATATGAACAGACACAGCTTTATTATATCTGAGAATCGTTTCCGTAGCTTTGTCATAAATGATTCTCAAGTGAATTATTGTGTTTTAACGTCTTAGTTATAGTTTAACTGTTCGCTACTTATACTGATTATTTTCATGTCATCAAGGTATCATCTCAATACGGTGGGACTAGTAGACCAATATAGCTATGGTCGAATCATGTTTCTGTTGTTTTTAGTGTTCAACAGTGGAATAATTGTTACGATATCACATTTGTAATATGTACGCAATACAAGAAAGATATTTTAATTAAGTTTCCATTAAAAAGCTTTTAGTATATTCGATAGCGACTTTAAAAAATAGGAAACAGGACGGTGTGGCTGTGAGGGTGAGCGTATCTGAGAATGGGCCAAAACTTCTCGACTTAGAATTTGTCTGCACTTATTTTTGTTGAAATAGGTTTCAGCACCGTCGTTTTCACCCTAAAATGTGCTATTGCCATAATTGGGTTAAAAAAAAAGAAACTATGGTTTAATATGCAATATTTAGGGATTTAATTTACTTTCAAATTCGCAGTATCAAGATGATAGGGTTTGTGTTATTCAAAACAGACACAAGCAGTTGGTTGAAATGAATAATTAAACATACCATTGGCTGTTCAGTTAGTTTTATGAAAATATTAAATTAGAAATATCCAGGATTTTAAACTACGTCAGACTATGATGGATAAATTGCACACCCAAGAGTTGCTCGATGAATTAGATAACAAACAATTAAAATGAAATCGGTACACTGCACATATTCAATAGCGTCATTACTGGTATAGATGCACTGAAAAAAAAATCCGTCGAATAATCTACCCTTGTACTGGTAATTTTTGACGATAAACTCTTGGAGGATATATGCACGTGTGATAAAGCCTTTTAGGGTTTATTGAATATACCGTTCATCAATTAAAGGGTATCGGGAAATTCTATGGGTATATGTAAGTTATGAAGGAGTTTTTAAGAAGATACTTCAGTGAAAGCATATAGTACTAGCTGATTAACCATTTATCACTGCCTTGCATCGACGCAATGATACATCACACTACGATTTGAGGTTTATCATTTTACTTTTCCTGCGGAACCTTTATCACTCTACTAACAAAAGGTTTATTCATATTCCTTGCGTTAATTAGTATATTATTCCACGGATAAATGTTGATCTTTCTCTCCATGGACGTGCAAGGTTGATTATCCTGCGTGGAAAACTAGTAGCTCGCTTGCTCCTCTTTGAAGGGTTTATCACAATACGGTTCAGAATTGATGTATTCCTACAATCCAACAGAGGGTTTATCATTTTACGGATGATGGTTGATCACCATCAGTCTCATGGTCATATGTTTATCATTGCACGAATGTGAGTTTATCATGGTCTCCCTTCTCACCATGGGTTTATCATTGCACGGATGGCGGGTTGATCATGGTCTCCCTCGTGACCATGGGTTTATCATTGCACGGATGTGAGTTTATCATGGTCTCCCTCGTGACCATGGATTTATCATTGCACGGATGTGAGTTTATCATGGTCTCCCTCCTGACCATGGGTTTATCATTGCATGGATGTGAGTTTATCATGGTCTTCCTCGTGACCATGGGTTTATCATTGCACGGATGGCGGGTTGATCATGGTCTTCCTCGTGACCATAGGTTTATCATTGCATGTATATAAAGGTTAATCGTCTTGTGCGAGACTTATTTATGAACGCGTCAAAACTGTTTTATTCTGGAGGATTTATTCATAGCTCAGCGTTTATAAATTTTCTGTCTGCTATTGGAAGAAAGCTTACAAGAAATCTCTAGTGCACAACGACGTACCGAGTTAAAATTTGTATTAGCAATGATCAGTATATTGTGCGAAAACAATCTAATGGAGTATGTGACACATTTAGTTTTAACATGTGACATCTTTCATGAAAAAGTTATAGTATTCATTTGTTACACGTTTACTACTTCCACATGAAGATATCACCACCTATCGAACATCCCTATTATTAGATAAAACATCTGTGATTAATATAATGTGGACGGACTAGACACAGTCGAGGTCGAGGACGAAAACAAATAGTAACATCCTTCGTTGCGCACTTCTTTTGTATAATCATAATGAACCTTTCATCGCGTACAGACAACATTTCTATTTTTAGATATTGCATATCTTTTTATCATGAACTGGTCCTGTGAACAAGTAGTTGCTTGGTGCAAGTCATTTATCGATGATCATTCAATTTTATCAAGATTCGAAGGTCAGTCAGCTTTTGTTTATCGCGCAGAGGCATGCATATCTTGCTAAAGAAAAGCTCGTTTTANCCTCAATTCTGGCGCATATTTTCCTTCGTTCCTTGAGATCTATCAATCCTGAAAGTTTCAAACCTCTTGGATGAACCATTCGCGAGATATTGAGAAAAAATTAGGTCTCGGAAGTGGAGTTCGCAAAACTCATTTTTTATGTAAAAGATTGGCAAATTGTGAAGCGGCTTGTATGCGTCCCAAGTTTTCTTCTATGGCAGGTTGTAGACCTAGGTGCACTGAAAAAAAAATCCGTCGAATAATCTACCCTTGTACTGGTAATTTTTGACGATAAACTCTTGGAGGATATATGCACGTGTGATAAAGCCTTTTAGGGTTTATTGCATATACCGTTCATCAATTAAAGGGTATCGGGAAATTCTATGGGTACATGTAAGTTATGAAGGAGTTTTTAAGAAGGTACTTCAGTGAAAGCATATAGTACTAGCTGATTAACCATTTATCACTGCCTTGCATCGACGCAATGATACATCACACTACGATTTGAGGTTTATCATTTTACTTTTCCTGCGGAAACCTTTATCACTCTACTAACAAAGGTTTATTCATATTCCTTGCGTTAATTAGTATATTATTCTACGGATAAATGTTGATCTTTCTCTCCATGGATGTGCAAGGTTGATTATCCTGCGTGGAAAACTAGTAACTCGCTTGCTCTTTTTTGAAGGGTTTATTATAATACGGTTCAGAATTGATGTATTCCTACAATCCAACAGAGGGTTTATCATTTTACGGATGATGGTTGATCACCATAAGCCTCATGGTCATATGTTTATCATCGCGCTGATGGGGGTTGATCATGGTCTCCCTCCTGACCATGCGTTTACCATTGCACGCATGTGAGTTTATCATAGTCTCCCTCGTGACCATGGGTTTATCATTGCACGGATGTGAGTTTATCATAGTCTCCCTCGTGACCATGGGTTTATCATTGCACGGATGTGAGTTTATCATAGTCTTCCTCGTGACCATAGGTTTATCATTGCACGGATGTGAGTTTATCATGGTCTCCCTCGTGACCATGGGTTTATCATTGCATGTGTATAAAGGTTAATCGTCTTGCGCGAGACTTATTTATGAACGCGTCAAAACTGTTTTATTCTGGAGGATTTATTCATAGCTCAGCGTTTATAAATTTTCTGTCTGCTATTGGAAGGAAGCTTACAAGAAATCTCTAGTGCACAACGACGTACCGAGTTAAAATTTGTATTAGCAATGATCAGTACATTGTGCGAAAAGAATCTAATGGAGTATGTGACACATTTAGTTTTAACATGTGACATCTTTCATGAAAAAGTTATAGTATTCATTTTGTTACACGTTTACTACCTCCACATGAAGATATCACCACCTATCGAACATCCCTATTATTAGATAAAACATCTGTGATTAATATAATGTGGACGGACTAGACACAGTCGAGGTCGAGGCCGAGAACGAAAACAAATAGTAACATCCTTCGTTGCGCAATTCTTTTGTATAATCATAATGAACCTTTCATCGCGTACAGACAACATTTCTATTTTTAGATATTGCATATCTTTTTATCATGAACTGGTCCTGTGAACAAGTAGTTGCTTGGTGCAAGTCATTTATCGATGATCATTCAATTTTATCAAGATTCGAAGGTCAGTCAGCTTTTGTTTATCGCGCAGAGGCATGCATATCTTGCTAAAGAAAAGCTCGTTTTANTTATCTGTGAAGGTTCCGTATTTGGAAAAGTAGTGCAAACTAAAACCCTTTTGGGTGTACCAAACCATTTAGTTTTCTTAAATAGTTTTTTAAATTGTCGAAAACCTTTTGATCAGTGAGGAATAATGAGAACGATACGACGTTTTCAGCTTGTTGGGTAATGGTGCTGACCTGTGTTAGGACGCTACAATAAAACGGAACACGGTCAAAGATTGACTACTGCGGATGAATCTAGACTTTGAGTGATTTGTCTGGTGGAACGTTTCTGCTGTTAGGTACACTTTTTTGTTGATAAAAGCATGATTCATTCTCTTTTTTTCCATTTAAGATGCTCAAATCGCGTGCAAATTTCAAATTTGAAGATTGCTTTCTATATGACATGAACACTTTTCTCGCATTGAAGATGCTGCGAGTTTCAATTCTTATAGATAGTATTAATAAAGTCAGTGGTGGTGACTAGCCGTATAGATACAAAATCGTATAGATGTATGAATTTGTTTATTCTATGTTAATTTGCCGTCACAAATCAACCGGTCGGATTGTAATGAGACGGCACAAAAAATGTACGGTTGCAAATGTGTATTCTATATTAAATTGAATTATAAATGTTGATTTTTTGTGGGATTTAGATAGAAAAACTGTTAGAATGATTTTTTTGTGGCAAGATTTTGTACGATGAGATATCATTAGCTTTGAGTTATTTAATTTCACAGATTTTGCGCTCAACTTTATATTCAGTTTGATTGTTCAATTCGTATTGTGAAAAGAAGTTTCATTTGTTTGGTTATTTGTTGAAAAGTATTTGATTGATTTTTGAACACAAATATCTGAAAACAGATAAGGATTGTATAATTGATGGCCTCACAAGAAATGGTGTATGACAGTGCACACTCTATCGATGATGTACCGGCCAATTTCCGAGAATTCGTTAGTCGTCAAAAGAATATTACTTTGTTAAGAGAAATCAATGAATTGATCCGATTAGAACCGAAGCGCTTTCAATATGCAGATGGTGTTTTTTCAATGTCAAATTCTTCTATTAAATGGGCCTCTTTCATTTACGGTGGTTTCTCTTCGGCGTGCTTGCAAGCGTCGATTAAATTTTGTAAAGAACAGGAATGTGAAGTTTTTTTTCGTCTTATCTCATACAATCCGCCAATTTATTCGACACGGCAGCCATTGTTTGATGTTTTCAAAAGCAACGATTTACTTTTGGCACGAAAATTACATTATTTGGAGTTGGAATTGTTTAATATTCGTCCGATACTGACAGAAGAGCCGTCATTTGTTAAGTCGTTCGATCAGTTCTTGAACAATATGGATCAAAAGTTTTGTTTAAGTCGGTATGTATGTGGGTATGGGCACAGATGAAATATTACTTATGTAGCAGTCTCGAGAATGAGCATATGTTCGAACAGATTTATTGAGTGAGGTTTTTTTTATGTATGGCGGTATGATTCTTTCAAGATGCATGACATATAGAATATGTGTGAATCACAAATATTAATGTGAAAACAACAAAGGGATGTTTTCTCCAACGAACGAGCATCGAAAAAAATGTGCGGTATCAGTATTTAGATTCTTGTTTTGTAGATGGTCCCATTTGATTGACTATTCGAAATTCCATATTGCTGGCGGATGTTTATTGACGAGTTTACGAAACAATTTATTTACGTCATCAGGTCAAGATATTGATTTATTTTACAAAGGTCCATCATACAGCGATTATCTGGAGTGTATTGTAAGTTGAGTTTATTTCTGTCGTTTTAATGATTTAGCGGACAACTTTCAATTGTTAGAATCAGATCGAAGAAAAACTCTGTCAATATTTTTATGTGAAACGAAACATTTGCGTTGGAAAAAAAATCATTAACATGCGATTGTTCACAAATAGTTATATTAGTAATCTGATGCAGCAGCCCGATTTTATTGATTTACAGTTTGTTTTCATCAAAAATGATTATGCTCCAGATGAGTTGTTAACAAAATTTGATATCGATATCAGCCAATTTTCATTCGATGGTAAAAGATTATACTGTACGATGGCTGCTGCCCAAGGAATTCGAACAGGAACTATGATTCATTATGGTCTTCATGACGACGATATCGATTTTGCGTCAATTGCCATTCGAATTGGAAAGTACATGAGACGCGGTTTTCGACTGTTATATCCGGTGCAATTTAACATCAAACGATTCGATATGACTCCATTATACATTAGCAACAAATGCTTTCCGTTACGTATTCAACGAACTGGAAACGCTGAGAACGAACTTTCTGCGGACTTATTGAATCATAATTCAAATTCTATTAACGACTATCAGTACCCCAGTCTGACGTGGAGTCGTAACTACGACTATTTTCATATTCAACAAAAATTTCGATTTAAACTTTTGTTTGGTTTCGAACAGTCGGATATGTTCGATTATTTTTGACAGTTTCATGAAATGAAATAGATTCTATTTCGATGCTTCGCCGAAATAAATAGTTTATCTGTAAATTCAACAAATTATGCATACATTGTTAAGTCATTTCTTCAATTTAGCAGTTCAAATACTTTTCTTTGTGCTGTAATTGAGATGTTTTGACTAAACGTAGAGTTGAATTCTTAGAGGTATATATTGATCAATTGCGCACATGCTTATGACTTGTATTGATTTGCTGAGTGTCACTTAATCGGCGTGGGAGTTATAAAAGCATTGCCTCAGATGTTTTTTATGATTGTCGCGAGAATCAGACGATATCGGATTGTTTGTTAATAATTTACAAGTTGATGAAATTGTTAAATATTAGATTTCTCAATTCATGCTTATCATCGCCAAGCAGAAGCAGCTATTCGACGTTCGAATGTTGCCGGAAGCAACAATGAGCTTTATCCCAGGTGATACAAGTTGATCGAAATTTATCAAAAATGGTTATCCTGTTGCACTATTCAGATTATTAGATTTTGCGATATATGAGGATTTCCTTTCGCATTGATGGACAAGAGTTTTTCGAACGATTTGCACATAATGAGTGGTCGAATGCGATACGTTGAATTTTAGATGCCTTGTTAGAATACAAATTTGATGTGTGAGGTAAAGCACTGTTGAAGTTAAGAAGATGACAGATTGAATTTGAGGATTTATGTAATGATCTGATTGATGACATTCCGTTGAGTCGTGATTCATCTCGATATGATTTTGAGTAGTTTATCGGAAACATTTGTAACAAAAAGGCGCATGTACAGAATAATTTGACTTTAGTTCACTTTTTGATATCTGTACTTCTAGTTATTGATTTTGCATCTTTTTTAAAAGACATATAATACGTTGGCAAATATGGAAGAAACAGAGATGAAAGATGATGAATGTCAACTGAAAAATTCTAATAGTTCGCAAACTTCCGTTAATCAAATGATTCAAATAGGTGCTTCGAATACGGAAAGTGTCAAGAAAAGAAAAGGAAACCGCAATTCGAAGCCATCAAAGAAACTCAAATGTAATCGAAATTCCAAAGCATCTGCGAGGCAGAAAGCTAATCGCAATTCCAGACCATCACAGAAACACAAAGTTAATCGAAATTCGAAACCTTGTAAGAAACAGAAAGCTAATCGAAATTGCAAACCTTCAAGAAAGAATCGAAAGAAAAGTGGACCAACGTTGAATTGCACGAACGCCGAAAACGTCGAAGACGGTGAATCAAATTCATATGAATTTGAAGACATTTGTAAAATTTGCTTGTTCATTGAGATGGATGATATCATTGAAAATATTTAGATTCTATGAATATTAAAATGAATCTGGAAGAACATTTAGAAAGTGCCGATATATACAATGCATTAAATGAAAGGTTTGTTTGCTTTTATCGATTGTTGTTTTCGTTAAAAAAAGGTATGCTTGTTAGATACTTTTCAACGATTCTTCAATTATGGGTGCCTTGTTCTTGTTGTGGATCATTACATGCTGAAAGTCAGCTACAGAAAGCATCGAGCAAGCACGAATTAGAACATGATGTGGTTGAAGGAGATTTGTTATGTAAAAAGTGTATTGGTTTCACGGCATCAGAGTATCGTCCTCATTGTTTGTTTGCCCGCGTAAAGAATAAGCTACACATTTGTATGACTCCGGATGAACTAAAATTAGGTTTTATGGAACAGCGAGCAGTTACACTATCTCATGTGTATATGAGCATTATTGTTGTTCGTGGCCATCAAGCTGCATTAAAAGGACAATAGTCCACTTTCATGTCGACTCAGATGCAGTAGTAGATCAATTGTTACCATTCCCTCGATGTCATGAATTCTTGGCAGTTGTCCAGGAGAAACCGACGAAGAGCGAAGAAATCAGCACGACAGTTACATATTCATTCAGTCCCGTACAAGTTTTAAAGGCACTACTCTATTTGAAACAATATAATCATTTGTATTTCGAAAAACAGATAATGACTGTAGAGCAAATGCAACTATTGTTTAAATGTCAAAGTGAAAATATTACTCCGATTAAAATAATCGATAGTTATGCGTATAATAATTCTACAACTACAGTTCCGTTCATAAACTCATATGATGTTTTGTGTGGTCCGAAGTAATTTAATTTACGCTGCATGATAATTCATTTCCATCAAATATTTTAGACGAGTTATGTCATGTGCAAAAGATGCAATATGGCAAGTTGAGCCATATTTGGAAGAGCGTTCATATCCTTGGTTATATCCACATGGTAAAGGTGGTGAAGGTGATCCTGAACGACCTTTAAAAATGAATTTACGAGAGTATTATAAACTGAGATTGAAATCTGTTGATAATCGATGGCAAAAAGATCCAACATGGATTTTTCGAGCACTTAATATTTTGCAAAGAGATGATTTACGCAAGTCAGTTAATTTTCATGCGAAAAAACGGTTTCAAAACGGGAAAATGTGTTATTTGATATATCCAGGTATGTTCATTGTTGTTTAACAAAAATTACACAAAGATTTGATTTTACACAAACAAAATGATAGAGAATCATTTGATATAGATATTGGTGGAGTTATTCGTGGTTCATCTGCATTTTGGAATAAGGCACGTAGACATTTGAGAGCGATGTATGCAACATTGGGAAAACCATTCATTTTTCTTTCTATCAACTTGCAAAATGACATCGAATTTTTAACCTATATCGATCCTCAAAAGTTTGGTACAGCAGAAAATCCAGAATGGGATGCGATTTATAATTTATCTAAGGATGAATATTTACTGCTAGCAAATGAAAATGCGGCACTTGTAGCGCGTATGTGCAAACGTCGAATCGCAGCATTTGAAGAATACATCAAGGACAAGAAACATCCATTTCTCATTGATTATGTTGTATCGAACTATTTTATCAAAATCGAATTTCAAAGAGATGGGTTACCTCATTTACCTTGTTTTCCGCCTAAAAATTCATCAATTGCATTTCGATGAGGAACGTTCAAACATAAAAGAGAATAAATCGATTGAGCAGTATTATCGTGCAAACAAGTGAAAGTAACACATTTCGGATATTGATGCTGACGCATTACATGACCCGACGAAAGAACAATACGTGGCANAACGACTGAATTACCTGATAAAAATGTTAATCCACTCCTTTTTCAATTAGTTCGAATGTTTCAATGGCATATACATACATTCAGTTGCGATAAAAGTAATACTGAAATCGCTATGATTTTGCTTTTGAATTCTTTTATAAGATCATTCATTTGTGAAAATCCGAAGATCAAAGAAAGAATTCAAAAATTACAAACAGCATAAAGGAAAAGAAGAAACAGGGAATTCCTGTAATTTTAATCGAGACCATGAAGATGAAATTTATGAGAGAGTTAATCCAGATCATGACATTGATATAATTCAGGCGAATCTGGATAGAAAAGACTTTTTTGAACGTGCGGGATGTCGATACGGGAAACCTGAACCATTGGCTTCTGGAACTCATTTTCGAACATATAAAGAAGCGAAGATTTTAACTCGAGGTGATCGAGATATTATCTTAAGACGAATAACTGAGGAAGTAATCATTTTCAGTTTCTGAGTACGATTGTTTTTATTGATGCTGTTAGTCGCGTCGTATCGTACCGTACAATGTTAACTTACTTAAAACATTCAAGTGCAATCAGGACATTCAAATTGTCACGGATCCATGGGCGGCAGCAGAGTATCTTTTTTCATATGTTAGCAAAGAAGCACATATGGAGAGAGATCTTGTCCAAAAACTAGCTGGATGTACATGTTCTACAATCGACGAAGCTAAAAAAATTCTATTAAAGGCTGGCAATGCTGTTTTATCGCATAGGCAAATTGGGAAAATTGAAGCTGCATGGATAGTTTTAGGTAATATTGTCAACTTTTGGAATCTTGTATTTTTTTCGATTGGTAGGCATTCCGTTGTATCGATGTTCAATGGCAACTGTTCATATTTATTTATCTTTGCCATGTGATGAAGATCGATTATTGAAAGATAAAAATATTGATACTGCCGTTCTCAGTGATAATGATTTCGTGAAGACAATAGTGGATCGATATTCAGAACGACCTTTGCAACCAGATACTATTCGTGATCTTACTTTGTTTGAATTTGCAACTTGGTTTTCCATCGAGTACGGTGAATCCGAAAGTGAAAATGATGAGTTGAAAAGCAATCCGTTATGGCGAAAAGATTATAATGAATCACCTTTACTCAGAACATATAAACGATTGCCACGGATTGCTCTTTCCTCCGGTCATGTAATGCGACAGCATCAACATCCAAAATGTGTTACTTTTACGTGTTTGCACGATAATGCCGCTCAATCAATTTATTCTATTTTATGTTTGAACGTTCCTCATCGAAATGCAATTGATGAATTTTTAGGCGGAAAACAAGGTTTGAGACAAAGTTTGACAATAAGGGTAAATGTCTACACAATTTTAGAACCAAGTACATTTGATTTATACCAATCGCTCGTTCATCATAAAGCAGAGATATGTAAACGAATTGTATCTCTTCCAGAGAGCTATCGGATTCAATTGCAGAATCTCGTAGACCATCTAATTAGTATTAATAATGAAAACTTCGCAATTAATTATCGAGAGTCTTATATATTTACCAATCCTAGTGAATTTGAAAGTGAACATGGTGATAATTCGGTATCAGAAGGTAAACTTGGAGATAAGGTGGAAAATCGGCCAATTAATGATGCATTGGCTGCCGTTGACAATAGCGATGGTAATACATTTGAAGACTTTAGAGCGTTAAATCGATTGCGTGACTCAGCAAATTCACAGCAGAAATATTTACTCGATTTTATCCAAAATTATTTTGATTGTGTATTAAAACACGTTCGACGTCCAAGAGAAGTTCGACAACCAAAACCATTTCATATTGTCGTTAACGGACTTGCTGGCTCCGGTAAATCTTATGTGATTGATATAATTGAGAAAATGATGAAAGAGTATTGTATTGCCGAATCCTCTGGAATTTCACGTGCGCGAAAGAATTTTGGTTTACTCAAAATGGCTCATACTGGTAAAGCCGCACTGAATATTGGTGGATCGACAATACATTCAGCTTTAGCAATTGTGAGTATATGGTTTATTGTATAAACGTGTAAAGATTATTGTTTAGTGCCCAGACGGTAACTCATCACCGAATAATCTAAATTCGTTTAAACTGTATACGTTGCGCAATCGATTATGTGGTTTATTATTAATTATCATCGATGAGATTTCACTTGTTTCGCACTGTTTACTACAAAAGGTCAACAAACGTTTGAATGAAATTTTTGTGGCGTCGAGTGAATCTGATGTCTATTTCGGCGGGATTTCTGTCCTTGTTTTTGGTGATATGGCTCAAATAGAACCTGTTGCTGCGAAACAAGTGTTTTTTCGTCCAAAAGGAGAATTATTTTCGCTGTGGCATGATTTGTTTCGACCTCTCAATTTCGATATCAATATGAGACAAGGAGATGATCGATTGTTCTTCGATTGTTTATGTCGTATGCGTATCGGTATGTCATCTGTCAAAATGATTTTTTTTCGTATATAAATAATTATTAATCGGTAGGTTGTTTGGATGAACAGATTGAAGCCCTGATAAAGTCTAGGAGTATTCGTAAGGAAGATAATCCATACAGTTTTGAACAACGATTGCAAGAGTTACATTCCGTCGAATATAAGGACGCTATATACGCGTATGGTGCTCTTCGGTTGACAAATGCGAGAAATTTACAAATGCTAAAAGAACACTGCAGACAGACCAAACATCCAATTTTCATGATAAATGCGTTGGATGTAATGTAGTCGTTTTATCTTTTTTCGTGTAGATAATTGTCCTTGGTTTGTATAGAAAGTTCCAATGATCGATACGTCATTTTATAAAGTTACGAATGCAAGCAATAAGATTTGTAAAGTAAAATTGAAACCGTCAAATGATGAAAATAAGTGTAGCTCTCTATATCCTCGTTTACCATTATGTGTTGGAGCACGAGTTCTAATTCGACGAAATATCGACCAAGAGAATTATGTTGTCAATGGAAGTGACGCAATTGTAAAAGAGATTGTATGGGAAGATCCAAAGAATTTTCTTTCACCGCCTATAGCATTAGATGATATCTTTAATTCATTGAATAATGTTATTAATACAAAGCTACCGAAATATGTCATAGTCGGTGAGAGAAACATTTGTATACGTGTAAATATTTGAGGTCATTTTTCATTCAGAGTTAGATAACGGATTAGAATATAAGATAGAACCTCAAGAAACGCGATTCAAAGATATGAACAATGTTAACATGACTCGTTTACAGTTGCCATTTGCTTTGGGCTACGCGATTACGATACATCGAACTCAATGTATGACATATCCGAGAATGGTGATAGATTTAGGAGGCAAATACTGGAAGGCAGGGATGTTTTATACAGTTTTGAGTAGAGCTCGACGGATAACGAATATCATTCTATTGGCTTATGATCGAAATTCTTTTAAAGTAATTTTGTGTTGATACTGCCATTCGACTGACAAGTAGTTTATTGTTAGGTTTCGAAAGATGGGTTGCAAGAAATTGAACGGCTAAAAAAGATAGAAAAGGACAATGCAGTCAGAGTTGGTGATTATTTAGAATGTAAAGTATGTGCAAGTTAACATTCCCGGGATGATGGTAATTTGTTTTTTGTAATTATAGAGATACGATACCGATCTGAATGCTTCTTGTTACGCTGATACGAATTATGTACATCACAAACATGAAAAAAGAAAGTATGATTTGAGCAATGATATCGAACAAACTAAGCGATGTAAAGAGACATCAAATGTGGTGCGAAATTGCAGCGATATCCGTTTGAACAACAATTTTATCCCAGAAGATTTCATTGTTTGTGAAAAAAAGAACGATTATTCTGTGGTCGTCATGATCTTCGTGCAATGCTACAAAATATGGCATTGTTCGATGATCAATTCTTGCAAACGTTGGGACGGCAGTTAGCAACGGATGAATTATTGATTCGACAAGACGTACACGCAGTAGATAATTATTATTTTAATATGTATACCGGTTATTACAATATTCAAGTTATACAAGAAGCTCTTAAGAGGCAATGCAATATAGAACTAATACAATGGAATAATTCAGATAGAATTTCCTCGTTTGTTTATCAAGAAATCATGAATAATATCGAATTTGTGCAAGCTTTATTCGTTCATCTAGCAGAGCATTATTTTTGTGCAAGGAAATTTGATAGTACTCCAAATTACTTCTTTATTATTGATTCTCTAAAACCAGGTCTACATAAGACCATTAAGCAAAAAGAAATTCGACAATACATTAATTATTTACATGAGCATAATGGCTCTATTTATATACCTGTCTCTGGTAGCATTTTACACATGGAAACCATTTCATCCGAACTCGTTTCTTCTCTCATTCATCCACTACCAATATCAGAAGCAGACAAAATAACTTTCAAATTGAATGAGAACCGGACTTTCTTGTTTTCATAGTGAACTAATCACAGAATAAGTACAGTCAACAATGAAGCATTTGTTTTGAACTGATAGAGTAGTAGTATAACTCCATGGTTGCTAGTTATTTAGATCAATATTTTAATGCTTTACATTTACATTTACCAGTTATCGTACGATCGATATGTGGAGTATAGGCGGTATTGAGGTTATCATCGGTATACTAAGCATAAGGAGTATTGCGGTCAGGGCTAATATTTACGTATGTCAAAAGCATAATTTCAATCTAAACTCAGTTTATGTACGAATACGTAGTATAGAAGTATAGATCATTGGTGTGTTTGAACTGAAATTGTTCATTTTAATCATTTTGGTGCAGAAATAAATTATTAATGAGGTTGTCCATAAATGTCCTTGGATTGGATTGTATTGATATCTAGTGCCTTAGCTTTTTCATGACAAATACCACAATTTCAACTGCCTCACTAAGATACTTAAACTTTTACGTTTCGTCTATGCTGAATGCATCGTATGCTGGATATTTTGAGAATTTGAGCACTAGCCCATGCAGTGTGTAAACTTAAGAGGTCTGAAACTCGCTATAGAGTGGATGGTGCGAGCATCGTTATTGCAGCAGTCGCGGTTGTGGTCCTAAGAGTTCTATTGGTGGTTATATGTCCCGTACTATGTATAATGGTACTAGCTTCTATATCGAATATCCATGATTTATGGCTCATATGCCGTAATATCTCATATGATATCACCAGACTGTGTAGTTCTTGTTGATCAATATAGTTGCATTGGCTCACATAGGGCTAGAAATCGCAATATACACGGGACCAGAGTTGTCGATGTACTGGCAATAGCACTATTCATGCGTATATAGAGCATTGTTTGTATATAGCTAATAGCTGGAATGCTTTTTGTAATCTGTGCAGCATGTGTAGTGCGTATAGGTTGCGCACCATGTATAGCTTGTATATCGCTTATAGCCTCTGGAGTTTCAGTAGGCTTTAAAGACCTTATATAGTAGCATGTTGTAGCCTTTATAGCCTCTGTAGACTGCTCCCTGTAGCCTAGTCCATCTAGCTTACATAGTGTATGTAGAGTACTTGAGCTCGTAATGGGTCTAGTGTTTATGGCTAGAATAGGTTCCTTTGACCCTTGGGGGGGGGGGGGGGTCCAACGATCGTCGATATAGAACTTACACTCACTATTTTTCTTCGAAAAATAATGTGAGTTCCACAAAAGCAACTGCACCATATACAAATAGTTATCAATCTTCAACATCTGCATTACCGAAACGAAATCAAAAAGTTATTGAAATTCATCAATTAAATGAAACATTAAATGATTTGTCTGATACAATCGAAGCGGTTTCTAAAAACAATTATCAATTCATGAAAAACTGTGAGAAATACTTCGGATTGATTTCGCCGGAACAAGTGGTTTTATCATTGCCTGGCAAAAGTGTCGAACTTGGTTATTTTATTCCGATTGATCGAACAATATCAGCAATGTTGAAATCTCAACCACTTCTNAAACAAATAGTAACATCCTTCGTTGCGCACTTCTTTTGTATAATCATAATGAACCTTTCATCGCGTACAGACAACATTTCTATTTTTAGATATTGCATATCTTTTTATCATGAACTGGTCCTGTGAACAAGTAGTTGCTTGGTGCAAGTCATTTATCGATGATCATTCAATTTTATCAAGATTCGAAGGTCAGTCAGCTTTTGTTTATCGCGCAGAGGCATGCATATCTTGCTAAAGAAAAGCTCGTTTTACGTTTATGTTAACGAATAGATTATTGTTGTGCATGTTGTAAATTTTTCGTATTAATATACCTTTAGACTAGTTGTCTCCTTACGTTTGCTTAGCAGAATAGACCTATGCGCTTGTATAGAAGAAACAAATTGAGTTGTTTGTTATTTCGTGATCCGAGCATTTGCAGTCACGCTTTCCCTATTCATCGATGCATTTCACAAATTTGTAGATAAATAAGTTTCTTCGTATCCTTATTGCAAATATATAATTCACTCGATACCGATCACTCGTCTATATCAAAACCAGGATGTCATCATTCAGCTGTCCACTTTGTCTAACACATCGGCGTTTCGATAGTTTTGCCAGAATGTTTCAACACATAACATTGTATCATCAAAACGAACCAAATTTCAGTATCACATGCGATTTGCATAATGCTTGCGGAGTTTTGTACCGAACATATTCTGCGTATAAAGCCCATGTTTACCGACAACACATATCTGAACTTCATTTGAAAAACAAACCGAACGACAATCGACAACAAGAAAATATAAATAGTTCAACTGTGAATTCCGAAGTAATCAACAATGGTGATGATACATTTTACTCCGTTTATGGCACTTTCGAAGAAAATCCTGTTGATGACGATTTGGACGCAAATTTTTGTAATACTGGATCGTTCTTTCCTTCGACTAATGTTGATGAAAGTGTCTCTGAATTGCTGTCGATTATTAAACGATCGTACTTGTTGTTCATCTTGGAATTACGCGAAGAATATTTACTGCCACAGGGTGTGACAAATATTATCTCGACGTATATTGTAACACTCCTCCGTCACCTGGAAATTTTACTGAATAAAAAAGCAACTGCACCATATACAAATAGTTATCAATCTTCAACATCTGCATTACCGAAACGAAATCAAAAAGTTATTGAAATTCATCAATTAAATGAAACATTAAATGATTTGTCTGATACAATCGAAGCGGTTTCTAAAAACAATTATCAATTCATGAAAAACTGTGAGAAATACTTCGGTTTGATTTCGCCGGAACAAGTGGTTTTATCATCGCCTGGTGAAAGTGTCGAACTTGGTTATTTTATTCCGATTGATCGAACAATATCATCAATGTTGAAATCTCAACCACTTCTCATTGAGATTTTAGAAAATATTCATCAACAGCGAATCACTGTTGATAATGATCCAGATCTGATGTTTTCAGTGAGAGATGGAATGTATGGTAGTCGATTTGATGAAGAAAGTCTGTTAATCCAATTATATTTGGACGATATTGGTCTCACTAATCCGCTCGGTGCTAAACGTGATAGACATAAAATGACAATGATTTATTTTTCTTTGGAAGACATGCCAGACAAATATCGTTCGAAACTCGATTTCATTCAGTTAGTTGCTGTTTGTGAGAGCAAGCAACTAAAGGTAAATTTTTCTAATAAAAATGGAATATGTACTGAGTTGGCAACTGAGTTACAAAGACTCGTTCTAATAGTATCCATGGAAACAATATCATTCTATATTATTTCTCATTTCTTTTTTGAGAATAATGACAAAGCTCAGCGCTTCTTTGCGCCAATTGTGGAAAATTTGAACAAGTTGCAATTGAATGGTATTTCAATCAACGGCGTCCATCTTACATTTTCTTTTTCTACAGTAGTAGCTGACAATTTGGCATCTCATTTTATAGGTGCTTTTCAGTCTTGTTTTAATGGTGGTTATTTTTGCAGAAGATGTTATATTACTTATCCAGAGAAGAATTTACCAATTTCATTAGAAAAAATTCAAACTCGGTCAATGACTGATCACGATAGTCTCGTTGATGAGATCACCAACGATCCTACTGGCACACCGTTGAAGGGTGTCATGGGACCAAGTCCATTACGAGAACTAATTGGTTTTCATGCGACGACATCATTACCCCGCGATCTTATGCATGACTACCTTGAAGGAATATGTCCAATGATCATAATGTCGTTACTCAAGCAAGCATCTGCGTTACGAATTTTAACATACAGTGAGAATGTTTTTGCCATTTTCAATCCAATTCCGACAGATTTTCTTGCATGAATAGACAGGCATACAACTTTGACATGCAGTGCGAAATTTTTCCTGAAAATTGCATTTATCTTCTCGTTCGCTTTTTGTCTATCTCGATACTGAAACCAGGGATTGTGTAGACATTAGGATAATTTCAATAAACACATTTTATCCGATTTTTAATGAGCTAAGTGTTGAAGAATTAATCTCATTAGCTGAAGATGTGAAATCTGTTTATTCTTTGAGGAACAGCAAGTTTTTGTTGAAAACCTCAGTAAACCATATTTTTATTGTTCGTTTGAGAAGTACGTTCATACTCATCTTGCTCATGTATACTTTTCGCATTTGAAGTTCGCATACAAGAACGTATGGAAGACTTCCAATACGGAAAATTTGATTCCAGCAATCAACCACCTCCATTGCTCGTAAAACATCTTCAAAACGATATTATGGTTGCGACTGCCTCACAAAAATTATGTTTCTTTCGACTATTTCCGATTATTTTTCATGATATAGTTGATCAACTGCCTTCATTTATAGTATACAAAGTATTACGAGAAATAGTTGATCTGATATTGTCGTGCCCATTTCGTAGAAAATGGTTGCATACACTCGGTGAATTATGTGAAACTTTCCACGAAATGATGCTGAGCCATTTTCCAGATAAAATGACTCCCAAGGTGCATTTTATTAGAGAATATAAGCACACGATTAGTGATTTTGGTCCAGCAGTTAAACAATGGTGCTTTCGATACGAAGGAAAGCACTCATACTTCAAGAAGATCACAGTTCGAACCAATAATTTCAAAAATATTCCAAAAATGCTAGTCACTCGTTATCTTCTCAAACAATGTTTAACATTCGGTCATTTGGCTCGATTGCAATCATCTCAATATCCTGTTGGTATCAAAAAAGTTCGAAGCACTTCGTTTGATTTGCAAATGAAGGACATTCTATTGGCGCATTTCAATCATATTGATTTTGACAACGATTTATCGCAATGCAATACATTGATTTGTGGTAATGTTGAATATCGTCGATGTGGAGTGCATGTCATAGGTTTGAAACCATCGCATGAACAGCCGGTATTCGCTCAGATTATCATGATTATCAAAAAGAATGAGAAATGGTGGTTATTCGTCGATATACTGGACACAGTTTGTTATGATGAAAAATTGTCGGCATGGCAAATACAATCTAGAGCTCAGCACACTCTGATTGATCCAAACGACTTAGTGCATTATCACAAAGGACTGGATATTTACATAGTAAACAGTTTGAGTTTTATTTCATTTGCATCACGTTTGACATTGCATTAAGCATAGAACAGACAGAAAATGCTTCAAACAAGTATCGTCATATATATTTTGCTATGATTTCCTTTTTAACCTTTCGTTAATCGCTTTTAATTGTTCATACTCATACACCTGACCCTATATCCAGTCTTATTCAATAATAGTGGGACGATCTGTTTCACTGATACATGTTCAGATTCATGATCAAAGTGATCACTCATCTGAACTGACAACAATTTTTGATTTGATTTCGTTTTGACATTTTCGGAGCACCATGATTTTACATTGGTTAATAGTATTCTTTCACGCTGCATGACTTTTCTACATGAAAACACATACTAATCCAATTCTCGAACCTAGTCGAGTATGTCTTTTAAAAAAGTTTTATTCCTATTATTTCATTTAAACATACAGTTTCATTAATTTCCAGAACATGACGTGGATGGCTCGATGCTCAAGATGCTGAATAGTGTCGAACGAATATCACAAATAATACCGAAATTGAAACAACAGCTACTTTTCTTGGAAGAGCGAGAGAAATTATTTCGACAAATTGAAGATGGTTCAATTTCATGTGATGGTTCATTATCTAATACATCTGTTATATCTAAAACATCAGCATTGAGTTTACTAAATGCTCAAGCACCATCTGGTCTTTCAATTAGTTCACAATCATCACCTTCTGCTCATCTATCAAATGCAAATCTTGCGGCAACAATGTCTACAAATAGTTCAATGGTTGATCAAACTATCGCTGCTGCTACTGCTGCTGCTGCTGCTGCTGCTGCTGCTGCTGCTGCTGCAGATGCACTGCCATCTTTTCCAGATACGTATGAAATACCAGCATTACCGAAAGCTTTGTTGAAAGACATCGAAGTTGGAAATCTTAAAACTTTTGGGCCGCATTGTCAGGGTCGACAGATACTAATCGATGCAGTGGTTCACGATCTCATTGAAAATTATGACTTACTGTAAGTATTTCTTTCACTGAAACACGCGTAATTGTCATTCTCTTTTATATCTTCTCAGTTGATTTGTTCGTACAGTTTTCCTATAACTTTTCTCGAAAATGCCCGCTATTGACTGTTGTAATCGATCGCATTGCTGATTGCTTTTATTTGAATACATATGAGGAAACGAAACGTGAACTGAAATAATTTTCTCTTTACTGGGAAACCATCAATTAACAACTATTCTGATATTGGATCAAATCTCTGACTATGTTCCAAAGTTGAACTACCCGCATGAAGCTATCCTTTTTCTCGGAAAGAGCCGTTTCATCTACTGTTGAACTTCATTTCCATTCTGATCGTTGTTTTTTACTAGTTATTTATCGAAAACACAATACAATACTGTTGGTTCTGCTGTTGTGCGATGTTTGAGATTACCTTTAACACCGGAGAATGTAGTAAGTATAGACTTACAAATTACAGAATAATTTCTTTTGTTCAATTTGAGGCGATTTGGAAAGACGCATTACAAACCAAATTCAAACGAACACGTTCTGATCATTCAAACAACAGCCTTGTTCAAGAATTTCGATTGAAATATGCAAATCCGGGGTCAGGTCGTCCAGTGAAACAGAAAATTGGCTCAGTTGCTGAACGTGATCGACATAAACAGGTATCAAGTCAGTAGGTCTTACTAATCACTCTGTACTTTCTTCTAGATGGTGATTATGCATGGTGACAATGAAATATCCGATGAGATTCAGTTGAAGGCGGTACAGTTGTGTGATTTTGATCGATTGGATGTCGATACAAAATTACGTTTATGGAGAGAGACATTCGGTTTTCGTCGACAAGCTGTGCGTGATCAGTCGACGAGCGATATTATGAAGAAATTTCCTGCCTACAATGAACCTCATCTGGTAAATTTGCTCCTCGAGATCATCTCTTTCTATCAAATGGATTATTTTTCATCATAGGTTTTTGAAGAAATAAAAATGTTGGTGGACCTAGATTTAAGAAAAGAAGTTCGACGGCAAGTTCCCATTCTACTGGATAAATTAGTCGAAACTAATTCATTTATTGCTGGTAAATAAAATGAGTGATAATTGTTCATAAAGGGCAAATTACTGGTTTTAGATGTACCACCTATTCGATTGATTAAAATCTTATGTCGAAAATTTGGTGAAACCATTCAACATATATTTTGCGAAAAGGTAAAATACATCTTCTCCGTGTTAATACTTTTGCTGCAAAACAATTGTGATTTGAACTGAATTAATCTCAATTAGTTAATGACTTATCTAATTGATGAAACACTCATAAGCGAGATTTCTACCTGCAGCTTTAAAGAAAGATCTTCACATTATTAGTGATGCTATACCTTCTCTTTGGTCAGTCTGTCTCTTCCGTATGCTCAATGACCTGCATTGATTGAAACATGTTCATGTTGAACATTTGCATCATAATGATTTATTTATGACTGATTTTTCTCAACTATAAGTCTCGAATATAAGACGGTTTTATATCATATCGGCACAAGAAAGTGATCTATGATCGCATGATTCTATTCATTTTTATAGGAGGCACCGACACCGTATCCTACATTAGTCTCAATTGACGACGTCATTCACATTTATGTTGATTTCTGTCCGATTCTTTCTACACATTCACCTGATGACGCTCTCGGGCTTCTAATTGGAATGTATTCTGTGTTTGAACTTTCATTCGACAAAAAGAGCAGAACAATTCGATTTTTATATTGTGTTTTGCACGGCGATAAACAATTTCTCTCTAATTCAATTCGGGTGTTAATAAAAGAGAAGAATATTGAGATTCATCGAGAACGTCTTCAACCGCCATCTGTCTCGCCTCATTCTATCTCGACCAATGCGACAATACTTAGCACGGAATCTCAAATTCAATCACGAATCGTTACGAATTCATCGAGTCAATCCACTGATGAACATAATTCTGCTTTGATTGATCAATCAACGGAACCGGACATTTCGACTCATTCTCATTCAATTGTAGACGTTGCCTGTGTCACAGATGAGTAAGTTAGATTTCTTCAGTTCATTAATTTCTCCAACATATTTTCATATAGATTCAATCATAATAATGACGATGTGATGCGGTCTGATTGCAGTTCCAAACTTCAAGGAAGAAAGAGACGTAAACGAAAACAAGTTTCGAATGAAGAAGAACAAGATGCGACATTGATGAGCAATGCTGGTCAGAAACCTGTTGAATCTTCTCAAAGTCGTCTTCCACTTGCGAATATGACAAATTCATCTGTTACATTAAGACAATCAAAACGTAGACGACAAATTTAATCTCTGGCTAATTTTATTCGAGAAGCCGATCCAATCATTTTACTCGTTCTTTCTTCTTCTTCTTCTCAATCGACCTTTTTTCTCATGATTGGTTTCTTTCATTATTCATATTTTCACTATTTTCTTCGTCTCAGTTACTGGATTGTGTTACATTCGTTCAAAATATAATCAAATCTATAGATGGATAGTCGAACTGAGTTTAAATTCATGCAAAGCCATCACATGAGAGAAACCACTTACTCATATATGTAATGTGATGAAGCTCAAGAAATTTCGATTTCCGTTTGCTTTTCGAATTCTCAATTCTTGCTTTCATCGTTTCAACTATTTACTCGCTTTGGATGCTCAACAAGCATGAATAATGTAACTATCTATTCTTCATCAGCCAATTCACGAATTCTGTTATGCTCTCTTACTCTGTATCTGCAATAACAATGTCAAAATTTCCAGCATTCCAAATTTTTATAATTGCAGAATCCATCAATTTCTTCAGATGGAACTCAAGCAATGGTATCATCTGAATAATATAACGTTGGCATCTAACTTTGTCAGCTCTATTATCTTCGTCAGCACTATTAATCCAGTGTTGACTCGATCACAAAATGAACCGCCGCTATCGTCAATAATGGCTCTCCATCCTTAGCCAATTTGTGCACGTCAACGAGATCGGATATTAAACGATGTCTCGAATCAATGAAGAATCATTTACTTGTGTTCATGCAAAACAAGAAACAACACGGTAAGTGATGCATATTCTCTGAATTTTCTTCCTTTCTTTTTATATTTAGTCAAGCTGCTTGACTGAAGCAGTTGATTACGTATGATCTCACATCTCTCGTTTTTGCTGTAAGTTTTGAAAAATACAGTACAGATGATTTGGCGGGTGGCGAACAGAACAATCAACTATTTATTTCGATTAACTTCAAGCAAAAAAATATTTTGGTGAGTGACATATTGCTTTTTAATTCTCTTTCTTTCTTTTCATATTTAGTTTCTGTACGCGCACAATGTCATCAATGGAATCATATGATACTGCGATCATCNGATCTCACATCTCTCGTTTTTGCTGTAAGTTTTGAAAAATACAGTACAGATGATTTGGCGGGTGGCGAACAGAACAATCAACTATTTATTTCGATTAACTTCAAGCAAAAAAATATTTTGGTGAGTGACATATTGCTTTTTAATTCTCTTTCTTTCTTTTCATATTTAGTTTCTGTACGCGCACAATGTCATCAATGGAATCATATGATACTGCGATCATCCTGGTGACTTTGAGTTATATCAATTACAATTATTTACTTTTATCGATTCGATATCAACTACATAAGATGGTGACACTCATGGTAAGTGAAGCTCTTCGTTTTCATTTCTTTCGTAAATCTATTAATTTATCCGTCGTCTTCACATTATCGCGCGATATAATGGTTTAGTTATTTCAAACATGATTTCTTTTATTCTTCGATGAGTTACCAAACTTTCAATTCAGTACGTTGACCCATTCATGCAACATTGACTCACTCTCTTACTTTTGTCCACATAAGTTTATCCTTTTTGGCCAGTTAACTTCTGTCTTTGCGATACTTAATCAAGCATTGTGTGAAATATTCCTCTTGAACAAAGCGAAAGGAACTTCCTTCTTATCTTTCCCTAATGTGCCGTATTCTAATTATTGGCCGCCTTTATTAACATAGAATATTCCTTCTCTTCTATGAAATCAGTGAGCGATAGTCGATGTTCTTCCTATAAATATTTCTCAAAATGAAATAGCCACCGTTATTCTAGCTCTTTTAAGTTGCTGAGACCGCATTTTCTTTCATCATTTCAATCTTACATGATTTCCTTCGCCTCATTCATGTCCAGTACATCACTGAGTACGATCATACTAACGTCCGACCGTATACTGACCTGCGCTAATAATTTCCGTTAACCTTCTCTCCTTTATTCTTATGCATTCTATGTGCTCCGAATCTGTCACAACAAACATCACGAGCGCGCCTGCGCCATAGATATATTCTTTCTTACAAACACATCTGACCGAACGTTGAATGCCGCAGCATCTTCTCTTGGAATCATGGTCTCAGTATTTAGGTTGTCAAAGCCGTGAGAGAATACTATTCGTCTCAGCTCCTCTGTGTTTCTATCATCATCTATCATCCTTCTTTTCATACCATAAATATGCCGGACACGCTTTCCTAGTCGCACTCATCCTAGCTTAAGATATGTGGCAGTCAGCGATAATAGCTTACCAGACAAAACACATTATGAACAGAGTTTTTTTATTCCAAAAGGCGCTTCGTGTCTAAATATGATGTTGACAAACTTCATGATAGTTGATCAACTAATTGCAATACTGTTTTATCTACTTTCAGGTAGTTGATGGACGTGATGAACCAAATGGAATACTTTTCCGTCAACCTCTAGGTAGTTGATGGAGGTGATGAACCAAATGGAATATCCTTCCATGAACCTTTGAGTCGTTGATTCAGTTGCTAAACGTTTGAGACTAAGTTTAATATTATAGTGCAAAGATATTTTACGAGAATATACGCATTTATAAACGAATAGGTCTATTTAAAAAAAACAGTTCTTCATTTTGTTCTACCCTTGAAAAAGGTTTATCAGAGTGCAACGTGTGACAATCCCTTAAAAGTTTTTCAAAGAGATAATCGTTTAAATAAACCTTTTGATGTACGATTAGTTGGTCTGATAAACGGAATTTGCGACTGAATCAAAGGGTATTTATAGGAGTTTATCATGCTCCGAAAAACGTTTAAAAGGGTTTGTGACCCGTTGCACTCTGATCAACTTTTTAAGGGTACATCAATCGACGAATTTTTTTTTCAGTGTGGGGTCTTCAAAGCTGGATAGGAGATTTAAAAAGTTAGGTGATTTCCTGGGAGAAAACTAAGGTCGAAAATCGTTATTTTTGAAAAATTTCATTTATGTTTCACTTGTTCTACACGAATGCTTTGCTCTAAAGGGCTGAAATTTATAGGATATATAGATGGTACTAGGATGTACTTTTGTTGNNNNAGTGTTTCAGTGGTAGAATGTTCGCTTAGGGAGCGAGCGACCCAGGTTCGATTCCTGGCTGGGCCCCATTTTTTTTACTCGTATCCTTTTGCAGTGTACATACAGTAAACATTGATTGCTAGATGATCAACAGCCTTTTTTTTCTATCCGATTAAGCGTTATAATAGGGCACCTGAATTTTTGGAAAACAATACGATAAAAATTTTCCACAGAGGCGCAATTCACTATATAGAATAGTAAACTATTCTACAGAAAGATAAAATTTAAAAGGAACCATAGTTACTTGCTTTCTCTCATTGAAATATGACTCATTTCTTTGCGTTATTGCATCATAAGAGAACGGTAGAATGTGAAATGCTATATGCTATTTGATGAATAGGATGCATTTTAGAAAAAAGTGGAAAAAAGATGTCGATTGTAGAAAAAGAAATGAGAGAGAAAAAAAACTGGGCCCAGCCAGGAATCGAACCTGGGTCGCTCGCTTCCGAAGCGAACATTCTGCCACTGAAACACTAAGCCTTAGACATTGAAAAAATATTAATTATTCATAGGCTCTAAATTTAGATTTGAGATTCGAATAAAATATGTTTTTTCTTCTTGATTTGATTTCTTTACAACAACGATGTAAAAATGTTGATTAATGATATAAAGACTCAGAAGAAAATGGTCGTCGAAATAATTGACAGATGACACATCATTTGTACAATTTAATTTGCCATAGTTTTACTCGATATGATTAAAAAATGATTTTGTTTGTACGTCTTTTTAATGAATAGCCAGTTTGGTATGAGTATTTTATTTTTTGATTCAAATCATTGCTTGCAGTTTCTTTCTATTTCATGAATGCCCAGGTCAACAAATCCTATGCTGGATCCGATCGGATCTGACCGGATCCGACCATCCGACAAAATTCGATCGTATTTCGGGAAACGGAATTGCATTGGAATCCGACTAGAAAAATCCCGTCGGTTGTTGCAAATTTTATGAGCGATCTTTCTAGCTATGTTCTATGATGACCTTTAGCAAATCCAGGAAATCCATGTTTCGGATCCGACACCGTCGGAATCGGATGGGATTCCGTTACCAGGATTTCATCGGATCCGTCGAATTCCTGTAGGATCTGATAGAATCCTATATTGGATCCGATGGGATCCGAGTATGGAATTGTTCGACCTGGGTGGTATTTTTGTCCTTATCAAGTCGTTTCATAAAAAATATTGCCTTTTTAAACATATTTTCAGCAGGTTTACATCCTTCTATAACTGAATTCTCACTGTTTTTCTGTTTTAACATATAATCACCTATTTTTTCATAAGTTGTAATTAAATGATCGAAAAGTGAATTGAGTTCATTCTCTGGATGTTTCATCGCATCGAGAATTTCATCAAATGTTGAATAATAATCATGAACAAGTGATAGAACTTATTGGGATTTATCCAATTCAACTTGTTCAATGATAGATTTCCAATATTTTTCAGCACTTCCTCGATCACCGCATTCCATTAGATAGCAACCAATTTTGAGTTTATCATTCGTTTTCAATAGTTTAATAAGAGAATCTTTGACAAGTTTTTCTAATTGTCTATAAATCTTTGTCTCACAAAAATCTTGACTGTTATCATACTCTTTCACAAATCGACATGCCAAATCAAGCAATAAATGTTGATCAATTGCACTCAATTCAGGTAATAAACTGATCATACTTTCAACATCAGCTTCTCCTTTGTCACCGTCAAGAATAAAATCCTTATAAAGACATAAAATATTATAATAACAAGTTGCTTTTGTTAACATATTTTTTGAAATATTTAAACATTTTCGATACCACTCTAAAGCAATGCACCGAGATTCATTACTTGTATCACCATCACCATCAATATCAGCAACGTCGGCTATTTTATTGTCACGATACATTGTCGTCATCTGTAAACACATTTGACTTATATTATCTTCCGATAATGATAATTGCTGAGCAATTTTGAGAATCATTTCAGGCGAAAGGTCATTTGCAGTATACATATCGAGTATGTTTCCTCGAAGTCTCTTTAATATATCAGTATTCCCTTTTGAATGGGTAAAATACAAGTCAAAAGCTGAAATATAAGCGAGACTGCTTTTGAGATATAATGATTGTTTATTATACAAAATTTCACATTGAAAATATGAGTCTGCTATTTCCAATATGTCTAAATAGTCTATATAATCTTCGCGAAATCTTTTCACTAGTGAATAAAGTAATTTAGTAGAAAAATTGACATGCTTTTTTGTTCGTATGTGTATGCATATTGTCTTTAATTGTACTATAATAAGCTCTGAAAACAGTCAAATTTGAATAATTTTCTGCATGGTTTTTAATCTATTTCTGATAAAATTCGAGTGCTTTTTCTATGTGATTAAGTTCAGCATAAGCCTTTGCTTTAACTCTATCTGAAGAATTATCTAAATTGATAGAAAGAAAACGTATATTAGATAAATTAATAATATCAATTTGAAACTGACTTTTATTTTCCTTTTTCTTTTCCAAATCGTTGTCGTTTTCTTGTTGCACAGCTTTTGGGATACTCGCTTCTTCTCTAAATACTTGTGCTATGAAATCCGAAAATGTAACATTTAAGAGACGGTCCGCCAGAAGGGTGTGGGTGTGGATGCAAATTTCTGCCCTTAAACACTTCAAAACTTTCATGCAAATCGTGTTTCACAAAAATGTATAATTGGAAAAAAGCAATAGAACGGCGAGTTGGTGAAACACGTCGATTAGAACTTTTAAATACAGTAAAACCTCGATTACTCAATACTCTCCGATCTCTCCGAGCAAATTTTGCTGGGTTTGACCCTCTATTAACTGATCCCCTTGCGATTCTGACTATGAATGTTTCTTTCCAGTCCCAATCGTATAGATCACCTCAACAATGGGAACGAATGTTGATAGCATCATCTATGTCGTCGCCAACAAAATTCATCTGATTGCTGTGTCTTTTATTTATTGTAAAGACAAAGAGAGAGAGAGAGAGAAAGAATCAATTAATCATTCAATTAGAATTCAAAGTGACTAATGATCTACTAGATTCCAATTCGTCAAGAGAAAAATCGGTTTTTTGACTACTTCAAAACTTCATCTGCATAATAACCATCGAATCTTCGGGAATGATGAAATATTTTGGCGAATCATGAATGTGTATACATTATCAATCTGAATAAATGTCTGAAGAATAAATAAAAGAGTCACAGCAAACTTTTTTGTAGTTTTTCTCATTAATCCTCTCCTAACTGAGCGATTTGGGTCAGTCCCGATGATGTTCACATTAGAGAGGTTTTACTGAATTCGAATTCTTCCACTATACTCCCAATTCTTTCTTAAAAGAAAAAAGAATGTACCCAGGTCGATAATTCCGGCGACTGGATCCGTTGAAATCTGAGTCGGTTCCGGTACAGCTCTTCTCGATTCCGACACAGTTTTCGCCGATTCCAGCAAGTTCCGACAGGTTCCTTGCCGCCGGATTCCGGCCGGAATTGCACAGAAGATATCCGATCAGTTCCTGACCGTTTCCAGCTCGAAGTTTGCAGGAAACGGTCGGGAAATGACTGGAACCTACGTTTGAACTTCCAGCCGGAATCCGGCGGCAAGGAAATGGTCGGAAAACGAACCTAACCGGGCGGAACCGACTGTGCCATAATCACCTGGGTACTTTCTTGTAGAAATGACCTTAAAAATTTGTTTTAGATATGACATATATTCAATATTCTCAAGTATAGAAACTTTTTTTCATTTTCAAACGTTTCAAAGATGATGCACTTCTATGTAATATGCTAATTGACACAAATAATAAAAAGCATTATTGTATAATAAAATGTCACTAAAAAGGTTTTATACATAATGATACTTAGAAGAAAAATCTTATAAGTGAGTACAATCCATTTACTTCAAATATACGTCATAGAAATGTATTGCGCATACCATATGTGAAGTGTTTAATTCGTATATTTTTTTCACTTACGTGCATCTATATAAACAAAAGAATTTTCTTACTTTTATTTGAAAAATATTAAACGCAGTTTAATTATGATGAGAATGTTATTAAGTAATATCCAATATGATCTCTTTTTTAGATATTCTTTTATTGTTTGATAGAATGTTTTATTTACATTATAATTCTTGGTCTTTTTATGTTAATCTTTGTCAATGGTTCCTTTTTCTTTCAAATTGGAAATTGGTTCATTTACAAAATACTTTTACGGCTACAATAATTCTTAAACAACCAGGTACACAATTTATTCCTATTAGTATGTCAATTCAATTACTTTCAGTTAATCTTGTTGAATCAATCATGAAATGTAGTATGTTATGTACTAATAATTTTCTATGTGGTGTTTATGATTATGAAGTATCTGTACCAAGGCAATGTCGACTTTTTGAAGGTAATGCAAATAATATGGGTTATATTGCTCCGTCATCGTATATTCAATCAAATGTTGGTATTGTTCAATTGACATCAGATCTTTTTGAAGAATATGGACAAAGATGTGTATCTTCTTGTTATCAAAGTCGATATCTACGATGTAACAATAATTCTAAATGTGATTGCATGCCACATAGTTATTGGAATTCATCAATATCAATGTGCGTTCCACAATTGGTAAAACGCGGTTCGCCTTGTCAACAGAATATGAATATGTGTCGAGAAGATCTTAATTATACATGTTTACAATTTAATCAATGTGGTCGTAAGTTATATAATAATTGTTTTATTTGCTTTGTTATGAGATGAATTAAGAATTCAAAATGAAAATTGTCTCACATCTTTTGATGACTAGATATTGTTATAAATGATAAAGAAAAGCTTTTCATCGCATTGACAGAAAATAATCAAAATACAAATTTACATTTGTTTCATCTATCCTTTAAGTTAATAAATTGTTTTATAGAAAAATTAAATATAATTATATTTTCTTTTAGCAATATCAATACTTTCTGGTACAACAATAATCAACAGTTATACAGTAATTAATGGAAGTTCAACTATTGGTCTAAATAGACCTATTGGAATCAGTGTATTTTCAACAAATGTTGATTCATTAGTTATCGCAGATTCCAATAATAATCGTATCATTGGTGTATGGGATGCTAATAAAATGGGTCAAAATATTTCAGTAATAGCCACTGAATGGTCATCTGGACATTCATTATGTAATCCTTTTGATGTTTATGTCGACAATAGTAATACATATAATCTATATGTCAGTGATTTTTGTAATTCTCAAGTCGTACGATATACAAATATGCAAACTATTAATCCGCCTCCGCTTATTGTAGCAGGTTATCAACAAAGTACTGGAACAGGACTTCGATATTTAAATGGACCATTTGGAATAGCTGCCGATAGCCATAATAATGTCATAGTAGCTTCTTTAGCAGATAGTCGAGTCCTATTTTGGCGACCGAATGCTACAAATGGTACAATAATGGTTGATTCTAGCACAATTGGTAATAGTTTGATGAGTAACCAAGGACCATGTGGTATTGCATTTGATGAACAGAACTCGTTATTATATGTTGCTGACACCTTCAATCACAGAATTAGACGTTATTCAATAAATAATAGTTGGCCTTGTAATGGAACAACAGTGGCTGGTGGAAATGGACCAGGTAGCAGAAGTAATCAGTTATATTATCCTAATGATGTATGGGTATCAAAGAAGACAGGAACTCTGTATATAGCAGACTCAGCTAATAATAGAATTCAACGATGGGAAAAAGGAGCAACCGAAGGTGTTACAATTGCAGGAGATCCCTATGGTAATAGAGGTACCAGTTCTACTTTGTTCGATGATCCAGTTAGTATAACTATCAATGCTAACGAAACATATATGTATGTCACCGATATGTTCAACAATCGTATACAAAGATTTGAGCTTATCTAAACTAATGACAATATATACATGAGCTAATTGCAAAATTATTATATCGTCATATTTTTCAACATAAAATTTCAATGTCTCCAGTTCTATTCAGTCAATCCTTGTGATTTTTTTTTATTATATATACTACATAAGGACTCCTCACTACCATTGAAAAGATCACATTGTTATCATGAACCAGTGTCGAGTAATAGGTCATACAAGGTCTAGAAGTAGGGATGCATCAAATCCAATTCTAGATTTGGATTTGACTAAATATGACTGGAGTTCAAGTTTTGCAATTAAATAATTGGCACCTACAGCAAGCTGAGCGAAAGTATATGTTGCCTATTTGTGTTCGACCATTTATATTCTTTATAAGACGGATATAATTCATCTATATTGACTAAATGCATTCGAACTGTACGTAATGTGTACGAAAATCACTTAAAATAGTCTTTTGTATCATTAAATATCATAATCAGACTACTGCCTTTCATAAGATGTGATTCATTTCTACACTCTATAATACAAATGAGAGTGAGTTATTAATGAATCAATTATCATGATACCTGACAATTGTTGAAAATTATGTTTGGTATGGGATGGCATGGAAATATCTGTTTCCATACGCGAATCGATGACGACAATTCTTTAATAATTTCAGTCTATATATTCTATTAGCTGTTTTGATTTAGATTACGAAGAGGATTGGTTTTCATGAACTCAATAATTACGTTCAGGATACTTCTTAAAAATAAAATGATGACATTTCTTTCCTAACTCATCTCCTTGTGCTTTGCATTTATTCAGTATCACTTAGGTCTATAGTTGTCTTCATAAGAAAGCGAGATGAAAGCATAAATATATCCGAAGTCGAAAAATCCGACCTGGTGACAAATTTTTTCTGTACATTCCATGGAAACAGGATTCCAGATTGGATTCAACAGGTTTAAATCCGTGGACATCCCGCAGTAACCAAACTGAACTCCCGTAACACTCCGGTGCACCATAACTCTTGGAAACTACGAAAACCGAATTAATCCAAAATACTCAGTAAACACATTTGTCGAGCGAAAATAAAAGATATGACCGTATGTCAACAAAAACACACGAACCGATGCTATTCGAATCAGCAAACAGGCAAAGTAGTACACACCTTCCGAGGATTTGAAACTAGTTACACGTGAATAACATAATAAAACGTACTACTGACGGTTGAACTACACTTCGATCGCAGAATTACACGTCGGATTAGCAATCCTGAAAAATAACTTGTAAATTTAGAATTGACCTTTTTTTCGGTTAGGATTGCAATCGGATTACGAATTCAAGGGAGGATTTGCGCATTTAGAATTGAATGTTGCTGCATTTACATTCGTCATGAAAGATCACAATTTCTTTTGGGATGCTGCTGGAAATTGTTCCAAAATCTTATTTGCTTTTAGTTTTTCGTTTCGTTTTCAGTTTTTATTGTTATTGAGAATTCGTTATATTTTGGAATCCATGTGAAGTTAGCACCGTTTAACAAACAACCAATCAGGAACCATCCATAAAATACCTCTCATATCCATATTTTACTATCTCGTCAACCGTTAGTTACTAACAAAACTATCTCAATCAACCTTGAAATCCAACTCTCATATCCTACAAACTTCGCGCAAAACCATAAACACAATGTTTTCCAACAGAAATACTCTGCCCCATCCGAATATCCCATCAAAGCTTTATCCAACGAAACACCAGCACGCGCCATAAGACACACACTTGCCCGCGATGCACCAAATACCGGCCTAACTTCTTCCAAGCAGCGTTTACGGGTACTCCGAAGGTATTACAATCGATGCAGAATCGAATTCTGAATCAAATACTGCTATTCCGAAAGACAGAAAAATGTTTTGGAAGGAGATGCGCTCTCCTAATTCATCTTTGTGGTTAGGTTGATTGATGCATATATGCTTAGATGGTTATGTCTATTTTTTCTCTCGTTATCGAGGGAAAGATCGAGAATGTGTGGCTGTCAGGTATGTAGTTGTCTTGTATTGTTCGGTTTTTTTTTGGGGGAATTGTAGAGTTTTGTGTCCGGATACCAATCATATTGCTGATTGGCTTGTGTTCTGGTAGTGTGGAATGGAACGTATATGGTCGGTCGGGCATAATTGTTGAAAGGAGATGATCGCTGAATGAGGGTGTGGGTGAGGGTGTGGGTGAGGGAGTGGGTGTTCAAGTTGGTAGTGGTGGTGGCTAATGTATTTTGTTCCTGTTGGTGTGGAATTAGATGCATACGAAATGGCTGCAGTTGTAAAGTATGTTCGTTTCTGTTTCTTAATATTTTTTTATTTGAGTTTTTTCTTTAGAGAGCTTGGTTTACTCCAAAGTCGATGGAGGAATATCGTCGTCGAAAGGAAAGATTTTGTTACTTATACATATATATTGAAAAGGTTTTCTTTTATAAGAAGCATTTGAAATTAAAATGGGCTTTGGACAACAGCGAGAATGAAAGAGTTAGTTTTTCTCTGTAAATAGTTTTCTTTTTCTTCTAAATTAATAAATTATTCGAAAACCTGAACCCATTCGTTTATTGACTTGATCAATGAATCAACGGGAAAAAGAAAGGCTATTTCAAAGTTCAACGCACGACAGTTATGTGCAATAATCTGCTTTAGATTGATATAAATGTGTATATGAGTATCATTTCTCTTGCTGAGTTCGACTAGACGACTTTTTTTTGTTTATATAATACATGTGTAGAGAAATGAACATGTTATTCTATTGAAAAAGCTCGAAAGAGAAATATAATGATATGAGAAAATGTTATGTGTGCGTTTTAGAATATCGAACATATACATCCTTATGAGGATCGGATGCTACTGACGAAGTAAATCTATGTATAACTACACAAAAGCATATCTCTACATTATGTTCGTAAAAATTATTATAATGCAGTGTTAAACGTGTATGGAATCTCTCTCTAATCGATTCAGTCGCTTTTGCAATATCGTCGTTTTGCTTAGCTTCTTTACGTTTGTAAATCTTCAAGATTGGCAATATAACAGTGGATAACAGCAGAGAGAGAGAGTAACAATGCAAATAGATTACCAAATTCTTCGTATAATTTTTGCATAGATGATCGTTCCGAATCTACGTATATCCTGTTTAATATTTGCAAGAGTAAGTTTAGATGCAGTTTTGTGTATACAAACAAGTCTAGTAGTAATTTCAGAAAGTGGAATGATAGAGATGATTTGTTGTCTTTTGTATCGATTTTGTTTAGGTTTCAATATGATATTAATATCAAATACATTTTGTTGGTGCCAACCGAATAGTCGAGCATTGCATTGGTCGCCCGCAAGGCAACTGTACAATTAATGGATATGTAGTGAATTGTTTATCTGTTGATGACGATAGAAATGAATGCATATGACAATTAAATAATTCTCTTGCTCATAGAGAAGAGTCTTAGAAACATAAATTGTTTGTTTGTGTGTCTGCACTTCACTGATTGGTCGAAAAAACAGATGAAACTAATAATCTAAATCTCTTTCTGAAAAGTATGGCCTAGGGTTTTTTGGGCCGAGGAATTCGAATCTGAGATTAGTAACATTTAGTATAAATCTCTAGTCTACACTGAAAACAAATTAATATACACAATAATATCTAAAAAAATGTAATATCTGAAAGCAATATTTCTACGAGAAAGAGTTGAGCGAGTCGCTAGACGAGCGTTACTTGTATCATATACTTTATTCAATTATGTTACATTTATTGGTTCTTCAACATCATTTCTTTGAATCGATCCAATCGTAAATATTTCAATTAATTCTTGTTTCTGTCGTTTATTAAAATTATCTATTGAGACAGGTATTATTAACGTCCACAAATAATCGGGTCCTAATATATTTTCTTCAATAGTTTGCTTTAATATCTTTTAAGGATTACATTCCATAATATTGATGATCTGTAATTATATCGTTGAAACAATAATGTTATACCTAATATGATGTTTTCAGCTGATGAAATGTCACGATAGAAACCAGCAATATCAATAATGGATGGAGCAGGACTTGTAGCTGAATATGAAATACTTGTGATTCCTAATCGATTAAAAAATGATGAAATAAAACGTACTTCTCTTCAATAAGCTGGACCACCAAACCCATCAAATGTTGTAACTTCGTCATAACTAAGTAATTCTTTTTGAAAAGTTATATTCTGTTGTTGAGACAAGTGAATAGCTGCCCGGAACATTGAACGACATTGAATAGACCACACGTAATCTATAGTTGTATTTTCTGTTTGTTGAAGAGAAAGGCCTAATAGTTTCATAGTGGATAAACTAACAGGCCAATGTTTTCTTTATGTTATTTGTGCTTTTACTTTACCTAGTATTAAAAAAGTAATATGGATAGTAAACCTGTCAAGTGCTGTATATTGTTTCTAATATTGCTGAATAACCGATCGATTTGGTTTTGCAGAAAATAATGATCGTTATGCACGATAACATATACATGCATGCATCTAATAAAAGAAGGGAAAAACCTTAGACACACTTGTTTGATTCAGATAATTAACAGGAACCAAATAAGCAACCGTTATTACTTATTCTATTTAAAAAAAACCATTCCAACAGTCATAATATCTATCTAGAGATCGCAATTAAACTAAAAGTGGTAAACCGAATGTCTGATCTTTTTGGCTTTCGGCAATTAAATTCTGCTCTTTAAGTATTGTATTGTCATTTTTCGTTGTTTTCTTTTGTTAATGTTGTTATTTGGATTAGAATGGAGAGAAACTATTTACACCCTTCATTAATTTTGCTGAGAATATCCTAATGAAAACTACTAATGAGAAGTCTATCATAGATTTCGATCAAAATCTCCTTAAATTGATCGATGTTTCTTCTGTACGATTTGTTTTCATCGAATGACATTTGCAAAATCTTTTAGTTTCAAATAATTTACATAATTTGATGTGCGACAGAAAGAGACCACAATAGATCTTATCTCTACCATATATGAAAAAAATATCCTAAACAAGTTAAACGTAATAGTGATGTAATATAAAAAAGAAACATTATAAGAGCACAAACTTCAGAATATTGTTGTAAAGAACACATCAAGCTAGAAGATACATTTTTATCGGTTTGTTTTGTTTATCTTATCAACTGTTCGTTTTCATCTCAAAAACAAAACTATGTGAAATATATGATAACAATACACTTGCAAACAGTTTAGTTGTGTTGTAAGAGATAGTCAGAGACATGAAGATCATTCTATTCGTTCTTGTGTTACTACAAATTTCTATTTCATCAGCACGCACAAATAAATGTGAATTAATATCAAATGATAATATTCAATTAACAGAAAATAAATTGACTCAGTCACGAAAGTTATGCAACCCATCAGAGTTTCCAATGAACAATATTCGACAAATATCAATTACCGGTCGTTTAGTAGATTATACAACAAATTGCCAAAAAAGTATAAACAATGCAACTATTGAAATTATTTACGTACACTTAAATCGTCGATATAAATGTTCTAAACTTCATTATCCAAATGTTTACGGTTCTTTTAATTCATCAAATTTAAAAATACATTCGGATGAAGAAATTTTCATACGAATAACAGCACCGGGATATGAAATCGTTGACAAGAAAATTGAAATACCATTATCATATCAACAATTCAACGAGATTAATTTCTATTGGCAAATTGGTTTAACAACAGCTAAAATACAAACTGAATCAACACAGAATCAACGTATGAAATCTATTGTTGATGATCTTTTAGCTGAGATGACATTAGGTGAAAAAATTGGCCAATTAAATTTAGAAGGTTTCAGTTTTAATGATGATGGTCCAATTATTACTGATGATCAGCGGAGAAAAATCTCTCGTGGTGAAATCGGCGCTGTGTTGAATATTTTCACCCCAAAAGCTATTCGTCCATTACAAGAACTTGCAATCAATAGCAGTCGTCTTAAAGTACCTTTTATGTTTGGTTTAGATGTGATTCATGGATATAAAACGATCTTTCCAGTGCCATTAGCTATGAGTTCAACATGGAACATAACATTAATTCAACAAAGTGCACGTATTGCAGTTCGAGAAGCGACTGCTGATGCTATTAACTGGGTGTTTTCACCTATGGTTGACATAGCACATGATCCACGTTGGGGAAGAATTATGGAAGGTTCCGGAGAGGATCCTTGGTTAGGTAGTCAAGTCGCAGCAGCAATGGTACGTGGTTATCAAGGAGGTAATTTAAGTGACGTGGATACAGTCATGGCTTGCTTTAAACATTTTGGTTTATATGGTGCCGCCGAGGGTGGCAGAGACTACAATACGGTTGATATGAGTCCTATAGGAATGTATGAATTTTATCTTCCGCCTTATCGTGCTGCTGTTGAAGCGGGTGCTGAAAGTGTGATGACTTCATTTAATGATATCAATGGTATTCCATCAACAGCTAATCAATGGTTGTTAAATGATTTACTTCGTCAACAATGGAATTTTACTGGATTTGTGGTAACAGATGCTGGATCAATTGGTGAGTTGATTCGTCATGGTTTAGGTGACTTACAAGAAGTAAGTGCACATCTACCCAGGACGAACGTTCCGGCCTCCGGATCCGAAAGGAACCTGCCGGAAATCCCGCTTTTCCGAGGATATTCCGGATGGTTCCAGCTAGCTCCAAAAGGTTCCAACCGAAAAACAAAGGAGAGTGGAAGCGGTATTCCGATCGAAATTTCTCGGACTGTTCTGGTGAATTCCAGTTGTTTTCCGACTGGAACTTACTGGAAAATAGTCAGAAGCGAGTGGAAAAGTCCGAAAATATCCGGGTCGGAATCCTGCTTCCATGAAATGACCGGAATTTTCTGGTTCCGGCCGGAGCCGGCTCAGATTTTTCGACCTGGGATACTCCAGCACCGTAAAATTAGCATCTTATTAAACAAATAATATCATAACTTTTCTTTCCATTCATTAACCAAACAGTTGGTTTAGATTGTGCTTCATGTTTCTTTAATATATATGTTTATTCTATATGAAAATAGTTCTTAGTGAACTATTTTAAACAAGAAACAGTTACGAACAAAAGTTATTTATATTTAAACAAATCTTTATCTGTTACTAGGACTACGTATATTTTTCGACAACTATTATCCAGTTGTTCGTCCATGCTTCTCTCTTGATCTTGTCCGTGTTTACATGGCTTGATGTTTGTCACAGTATCAACTCCAGCGCTGTTGCGATAAATTTGTAAAATTATTCCGAAACAGTATCTTCGCGACATGTTGAGTTCTCTTGTTTCGATACGTAGATGTTTTGTTCTTAAGCACCCGTACGTATCACAAAGATGCGAACCTAAAAAAATTGTAAACTCTTTTAAGGACCGATTTATATAAAATCTTACATTGATTTCCGCCTTGATTTGTAGACAGTAATGGAAGTTCTTCCTTTTCTTTTCCACGTAAAGCAATCAGATGACGGCTAACTGTAAGATTTTCCACAGAATTCGCTTTGCAAAATTCAATATAATCTTCTGCCACAGAGAACCACGATGATTTAGATGGAGTAATTGCTATTTCTGGATGCCTTTTCGCATTTTTTAGATGTTTTGGTGTAATTTTACATTCCATCCAATCTTTGAAAAATGTTCCTAGAATAATCAAGATTGAATTATGTTGACAACCTAAAAATCTGTTACCATTATGATGTGTAATGCTTGTTAAGGCTTTCAGTTGATCAATAGTGAGTTCTGGTGGTAAATGACGGTCATTGATTAAATCTTCATATTCGTGCTGTTTGATGATTTCTTCTGTCCATGCTTTTGCTTTGGCAGGTGATAAAAAATTAAGAAACTTTTGACTACGAGGAAAATCTTCTTTTTTTGATCGTTGTAATCTTTTAATCTCTTTCTGTGCTTTTCGTGACATGCTGAATACTTTGAAACGAATGAAGGGGGAATTCCCAATCATCTCGCTCTTATACAATGATGGAAATCATCAAATTAATTAGACATTGATTAAATTACAACAATATAGATCAATTAGCAATTCTTTAAATTGAAAATGAGAAAACTAATTAATCATACATCAAATTGTGAGGATACTGATGATGACGTTATCAATTTCCTTTAGTCATCTACTTTTTCACAAACTTAATCTACATTTTAAGAATGTTAGCTTCAATTTTTCTGAATCTCTCCGACTTCCCTGAAATCTCAAGTCTTCGAAAATACTGATGTGAAACTAGCACGACGAAAAAAAAAACCAAATCACATCGCGTCAATAATTTACTACCATGACCCGTAAAATATCATATAAAGTACTACTTACCATAATAACCAGCTTTATCTTCTCACATCTCACCATTTAAAACCATATCATCTACCAACAAAGTTTCGAATACTCACATAAATTCTATTACCAAGACCAATATCCTGATCATCGACTCAATCCAGTTTTAATTTCAACAAAAAAAAACGTACTTCGACAACTACTATCGTTTTCCTGTCCGACAGAGCACCACCATTCGATAGAGAATTCAATTCTGAATTGAATCCACTTAGTCCGATTCATGGAAGAAATTTTGAAAATGAAAAAAAAAGGGGTCCCAACATCAAAAGTCACGTTTTTCAGTTATACAGGTGAATTTCAAGTAACAACTTTTTTCTTTAGAAATATCTCCCATTGATGGTTCCATTAATGGACCAACTAGAGCAATAGTTAGATTTGGTCGTGCTAATGGTAATATTTACTTATCATTTTTCAAAAGAACAAAAGAACGACGTGCAAAATCTCTTGCTGCTAAAGGATTTTCTTTGGTAAATATATCTGTATGTGCACGGGTTTCATTTATATAACGAAATAAATATGCTGAACAAATGTTAAATGAGTTTTTTCAACATTTTCATTGAGCTTATCATGGGATTGCTTACATAATGTATAAATCTTCCATCTAAAATAAAAATAATATTAAGTATAATAAAAAAACTGCTTTATTTCCCTGAATCTGTATGGATTTGTTGAAAAGAAAATTGTTCGAGAACGATATTTTGATTGACGATATTGTTGTGTAAAATACCATTGTTGTTTGATCCAAAATGGAGATGAGAACTGATTTACTGAGTTAATTGTTGTTATTGATGCTTGATTACTGTGATCAGCAGTGGTGTAAGTGGGTGTGTAGTGTTTCGTTCCATGATTCAACTCTCACCGGCACTTACCCATGCACAGCAGAATGATTAATCGAATAAAATTCGGAACATTCTTTTACATCAAAACTCATGGTTCTGATTATTGAAGTTTTATTTACAAAGAATAATTATATACAAAAACAAAGAATCAAAAAAGACTTTGATAATAATTGGTTGCTGCTCCATGTTGTTGTAGAAACGTGATTTTTCGACATGTGTATTTTAAGGGATCGTCATGTGCCTTGCTGTTATTTTGTCCATGTACACAAGGATAATATTCTATAATATGTTTTTCTCTTAATATCATTATTAAACCAGGACATTTAATTCTTGATTGATTTGCTCTTATGGTTTCCGTTGTTAGATGTTCTTTTCGTAAACAATATTTTGTATCACACAAATGTGATGCTAAAAAATATAAATTGAATTAGATTATTTAATTTTTCTTTCTTTCTTTCTTACCACATTCAGGTCCATATTGAGAAAGGGCTTTAAAATCTTCATCCGATGTAATACTACGAAGAACTATGTGATGCGTTTGTATGACAAACACATTACTTTTATTCTCCAAAAGAAAATTACGCAATTTAGGTTGGATAAATTCAAAATTTTTGCTTTTTTTCCGAAGCTCAGTACTTGGATAGCGAGTAGGTGGATTTTGTAAATTGGCATAAGTACAATAACATTTTAACCAGTCGAAAAAAAACTTTCCTATAATAAAAACATGGTTATATGAAGAAATTGCATTAGTGACTTTTACCATCTTTAGCTGTATTACTCGTCAAACAGTGAATTTCTTCTGGTCTGATTTCTTTACCCATTCGAGCTGGATTAATGAAATAATCTAGTTTAATTAATTTTTCTATAACGGCGAACATAAGACCTGCCTCATGTTGTTTGATTTTTCGTAAGAATAACATTGGCAATGAAATGACAGATGATTCTTCTTCTTCCGATGAACCTATTTCTAATAATGATACCGGTTGTTCAGCAGATTTTGATTTCTTTTTTTCATTTTTTCTCATGTTGCGTAGAGATTTCTAAACCAAAATATAAATTAAATTATCTATTTTAATATGTTATCTTACTTTTAGTTGCTGCTCGCTGCAACCTAGTTGGTTTACAAATTGATCAATCTGACATGGATTGGGGTATGGATTCTTTTTAAATATGGCTCGAATATATTTCTTTCCAAGAAAGGTGAATGCATTTTTGGTCGAATTATAATATAATGCAGGATCGTTAGAAGCCATGAGTAGAGAATGTTTGCTGCGAGATAAAAATTCATTCAATTTATATATTAAGACAATTTCTAACAAACGTACTCGAATTATCAAATCAATTAATATATTTAGGATATATAATATAATTGATTCATTTCTTAATTAATGAGCAGTAGTCATTGTCGAACAATTCAACAATCGATACGACGAACAATTACAGAATACCCGAGCTTCTTTCAGATATGAAGTGCAATGAATTTATTATTTTATTTCAATTAAATAATGAATAGACATATGCTTCTTAATATGTATACAAAAATTAGTAAATATCATTCGTTCTGTATGATAAGTTTAAGAAAAAGAGAAAAAACTATATATACTCAAATTGTTAAAAAGAATATCTGTTTTCTTTCATAATCTTTGTGTATTTTTACGACAAATTTTATATTACTTTCAGGCTATGAATTTACGTAGATTGATGGAAAATCGTCAGTAGAAAAATATGAAAAATAGAGAGAATATGTACTCATGACAAAAAAAACAACACGTAATATTAGAAGTAACATTTGGATTTATTCGAAGAAGAATAAGAAGAAGATATTACAACATACCAATTTGAATAACAAAAATTTCATGTATACGATAAATAAATATTCCATTTTCAAATGAATATGATGTTATTTTTGGATTTGGTCCATCTGAATAATTGAATGGTATATAAATATGACATTTATTTGATAAAGATATATGATCTGATAATGTTTGAATTATTTCATAAATGTTAACACGAATAAGAAATCTTCTATGTATTTTAGGTATTTGATATAATAAAATAATAATTGATAAAAAAATTGACTAATACATTCTATATTCAATTTCAGTAAATAGAATAACAATTATACTGATAGAAAACATAAAAAATTCTAAAGGATTTATCTCCCAATATTGTTCGAAACTCTATGGTTTAATAATAAGATGACTTATTGGATGAAAAATAACAGCAGCTAAATTTGCTTCTGATATTCAATAAAATACCAATGAAAGAATGTAAATAGCAGAAACAACTAAAGATCCTGTTATAACACTTGTTAATGGTGTACGAATCCCTGCAGTTGCATTAATTGCTGTTCTCGAAAACGAACCTATTGTTCGAGTAGCACCAAGAAAAGGAGCAAAGATATTTGCAAGTTCAACAGCAATAAATTCTCGATTTGAAACAATTCTATAGTGGTTTATACCGGAAAATGATTTTGCAACTGATATATGATCAATTAAAATAATAATTACAGTTGCTGGTAAGTGCGTTGAAACTATTGAAAGTAAATTGTATAAAGTTTTCGTAAAGTTTTCGTGTACTAAAATGTTGTGAGCCTTTTGGAATATTTCCAAGAATACTTGCACTTTCACGACGACGATGAATTAACCATGATGTGAATAAAAACAGTAAAATAACAAAGACAGAACGAAAAGAATGAAGAAAGAAAAGATTTTTTCATATTTCCTTGAATTGCTGTAAAAAGCTTGAAAAAGAATCGACATCGATTGAATACTCAAGTTAAATGAAAATTTTGAATACCGAAATATAAATTAGGTTTACTTGATGATCCCTTTCATTATGTCAATGAATCACGCTCACATACGGATATCTTCACAAAGGAGAATCGTTTAGCTGCAAGAGATGCTGCCCATCGTTCTTTTGTTCTTTTGAAAAATGATAAACAAATTTTACCATTAGCAAGATCGAATCTAACTATGACTTTAGTTGGTCCATTAGCTGATGATCATAGAAATTTACTCGGTTCGTGGAGTGCAGCTGGTGATTTTAATCAAGCAGTGAGTGTTCTCGAAGGTATTAATCAATTAATTGGAAACAATATTCAAGTTTTACATGTTAAGGGATCGAATCTTCTTGAAGATCCGGATTTACTTAAATTATTAAATGCATACGGTGGTGACATCATCTTAGATAATCGAACAGCTACACAAATGATCGATGAGGCACTTGCCGCTGCACAAAAATCTGATGTTATTGTTGCTGTTGTTGGTGAATCGCAAGGTATGACGGGTGAAGCAGCAAGTAAAGCGGATATTGGACTACCTTTGTGTCAACAACGTTTACTTCAAGCATTATTTCAAACTGGCAAACCTATTATTATTGTAGTAATGAATGGACGACCATTGACATTAACAATTGAAAATCAATACGCAACAGCAATTTTAGAAACATGGTTTGCTGGAACGGAGGCAGGAAATGCTATCGCTGAAGTTCTTTTTGGATTTTATAATCCAGCGGGTAAATTAACAGCAACATTTCCACGTTCTGTTGGGCAAATACCCCTTCATTATAACCACAAGAGCACAGGACGTCCGTACAATTCAAGTGATTTTCTCAATCGATTCGAAGTAAAAATATTTTGATCAATTCTTTTTTCTTATGTAAGGAAAGCTAGTACCAGATTCGTTTGAGATCTTCAGTTGAATCTAAGCATGGTTGTGTTCGGTGCAAAATAAAATTTTCTTTCGGATAATGATATCTTTGAAGGGTGTTATCGAAAGAAAAAAATCATCATACTCTCACCCTCAACATAAGTTCTCAAGCGAATAGGGTACTAAGTTTCCTTATGTTTTTTTTTCATTGTGTTGTGAAACAATTTTATCTTTCTTTTTTAGACTCGTTATATAGATATAACCAGTGATCCACTGTATCCGTTCGGCTATGGTCTTAGTTACACAGCGTTTAGTTTGGGTCCATTAAATGCAGATAAAACTGAACTTCATGGTGATTCAGATCGTTTAAATATCAGTGTTGTATTGAGCAACGATGGAAAATATGATGGAGAAGAAGTGGTACAATTATACATTGGTGATCCTGTTGCAAGTGTGACACGAGCTGTACGAGAATTGAAAGATTTCAAAAGAATTTTTCTTTCAACTCAACAACGTGAAGAAATTTCATTTGTTGTGACAACTGAACAATTGAAATTTTTCGATGCAAATCTTAATTATGTTTGGGAAGAAGGACTTTTCAATATTTATATTGGTCTGGATTCAGTCAATACTAAAACACTACAAATTTATTGGTATAAGTAAAATAAACAACATAAATATTTCTATTTTTATACGCATTAGTAACCAATAATAAAGATTCTTTCGATTATAATCACTCTTGAGGGGTGAGGGTAAGTACAATAGTGAGAGCTCATTTTATTAGATTTCAAATTCACTGTCAACCTAACTGATTCGAACAGATGTATGCTCAGTTCTCATTCTGATTTTGTAATTTTCTAAAACAAGTTTAGCGTACACTCAAAAAAAGGAAGGAGTTTTACCGAACCTAAAAGGTTTCCTATACTTCGACTGAACGATTTTAAGCTCAGAAAAACGAAAAATGTTCTGTGCTTGAACTGCCGAACTATTTTAAGTTCCGTAGCGTCGAGAAGGTTCGGCAATTGGTAGCAAAAACCATCCACAGGTTTTTAATGCGGTATGCGAAACCATTCGCAGTTCTGTAACATGTGTACAGAACCATCAGCGGTTTAGGAGTGTGATGCGACGTTTCGTCAATTTTCTACGAAACTATTCCTAGTTTCGCAGGCAAGTTGATGGACCAGACGATTTCACGCCGACGCATCGATGGTTCGTCAGTTTTCGGAAAGTTTAGAACATTTTAAACTAAGCTAGACTTGGCTTCGTGTGGAATGGTCGAAACCAATAACGAGTTTGTAAATTCTTAAAAAGCTCAGTACATTCAATACAAACCCCTGCGAGGTTTCGTACGTCTATCAAAGGTTCAGTATATTCAGTACTGATCCGCTCTGAGTTTCGCATAGCATGTACGAATCTTTATAAATTCCGAAATTAACAAAAAGTTCTGCATGTCTCGTACTCAACCAATGGCATATCATTTATGTCTCAGAAGGTTGAGTATAGTACATGCGAAACTTTTCATCATCCAATTGTGTCTTTGAAGACTCGGTTTCATGCACAAAGAACTACTCATAGCTTCGTATAAGTTCATAAAGCTAACCCACGACTTATACTGAACGATTAGGGCTTCAGTAAGAAAAAGCAAGGTTTCGCACGCATAATACCAAGCATTTTTGCCTTAGTCAAGTTGGTATTGGTTTTGTGCGTTTTATACGGAGCAAACCAAAATACTGCCACCTTCGAAACGGTTCCGTACCTTTANTTATTTCTCAGAAATATATTAATGCAATCTATAGTGGAAATGTTTCATTTATCTCACCTGTTGATGTTCGAACAATTATCAGTTCTTTCTGGCAATTGATACGCTCATTTTGTAATATATCGCAAAACACATGGATTGATGCTTATAATAATTTCAACGCTACTATACTGATTAGTCCAATGGCACAATCACAATTCCTGATAGAGACTCAAGTTAAAAATTCACTTAATTTTTCACTTACTACTGCAGTAAGTAATCTAAAACGAAATTTACTTATGGCTCGTGAAATGACTTTAGCCAATGGTTTGATATCAGGTTTAGCTACAAATTATTATATTGCCTATCCTGGTCAAGTAACTTCATCAAAAACTATGGGTATTATTGCGAATGTTTTTGAAGATGGATGTTCTTGTTCGAATGCCGACGGTTGTCTTCGACCCGCTATCATCTCTGGATCTAACAATGAAACAATAAATTCAACAAAAGTACCAGGTATAATGTTCAGTTGTTTACCAATGGATGGTACACTTGCTTCAACATTTGAATGTTATTATGACACAGAGTGTCTATCTCTAATTCAACAATATCTATCAATCGATGACACATTACAACCATTGAATGTATCAAGCCGTTTCTTTTACAATGTTACTATAAAAACATTGGTTGATGAATTAATGATTGAAAATTTAACAGTAAAACCTTTATTTTCTCTTTATTATACTATATGCCATCCGAATTATTGCACTTATTCATTTTCACGTCGATTTGATATAATATATACTATTACATTAATATTTACTGCTGTCGGTGGAATTTCAGTTGCGTTACGACTCATCAGTTTATTGATCATCAAGGTGTTACGTAAAATACGACAAAGATCAATTCGTTCTAACAATGAACAGTCGTTTGTTTGTAATCGTAAGTAAAAATAAGATTGTTTGATCTGTGTGAAGTTTTTAAATTTTTATTTGAGCTCGAATATTAGGTATCCGACTCTGTGCATTACTCAATAAGGCTAAAGATTTACTTATTAATCTAAATCTTTTCAAAAGTTTATCTCGTGATCCTGAAGTTGTACATCGACAACGTATCATTACACGTATATTTATTGTCTGCCTTGGAACAAGTCTTATTATATTCAGTGTCTATACATTTCTCTCTATTCAAACAAAGGCCATTACAATTCCTAATCCATCAAGAACAGATTATGAATATCTATCAGAATTATATTCTGATACTCTACAATGTTCGTGTTCACAAATTGCTATTTCATACTCTTCTTTCATGAAAATGATGCATACATTTCATCAACTTTGTTCAAGTCGACTTACTTCATCTGATTGGTATAATCGTCTATATAAATCGANTACACCGAATGACACCGTTGGATACAATCGTAATAGATTTAGTTATACATTTGCTTCTCAATATTTTCAAGCACTTGATGCATGTTGTTCATTATCGGAAAATACGATTAATAATGCGTACCGGCTATTTTCAGCGAATATGTTTATTAACAATCGTGTACTGTCGGAAAGAATTTTTTCTAAACAAATGAACGCTGCCATTGATACATTTAAAATAGCAACACGTGCGGAATTCAGTCGTATCTTCGCATTTTTTCGTAATAATACTCAAACAGGTCAATTTTCTACTCGAACAAATTCGAATATGCAATTTTCACTCACTCCGAATGCTGAAGTATTACTGACAATCGCTACTCTTCCGGTTATGTCATCAGACTTACCGGCTGGTTATCTTTTTATTTGTTCTTGTTTGAGTCAAAGTAATAGATGTGGTGCGCAAGCATTTGTTTACGATTCATCAGCAGGACTTAGTAATATTTATCTTACAGATCTAATTATTAGATGTCTACCAACAGAAACAGCAATTAAATCAACACTCGAATGTTGGTATGATCCTATTTGTTATGACATTGTATATAAATCGTTTCTTATAAACGGAGTCGATTTAAACAACAGTATAGTAGTGAATGATAATGTTACAAGCCGATTCTCGATCAATGCGTCTGTTCAAATGATCGTTGATGAACTTTTACTTGAAAACTGGACTTTGAGTGCTTCGTACGATGATTTTTACAAACAATGTGCACCTACATCATGTATATATACAATTCAACAACGTTTCGATTGGTTCTTTGTCTTCATTAATCTTTTAGGTATTTACAGTGGTCTGAGTAGAGGTCTTCGATTGATTGTTCCAATAATCATTCACTTATTCTTAATTATTATTCGATCAATTCGCGCGCGAAATCATCGTACAAAACCTTCAACATCCAATAGTCAAGAAATTCAATTTCATAACATTCCGGCCTCAAGATTATCTTGGCTTAGCAAAATAAAACAATATCTATGTACATTGAANTTATTTCTCAGAAATATATTAATGCAATCTATAGTGGAAATGTTTCATTTATCTCACCTGTTGATGTTCGAACAATTATCAGTTCTTTCTGGCAATTGATACGCTCATTTTGTAATATATCACAAAACACATGGATTGATGCTTATAATAATTTCAATGCTACTATACTGATTAGTCCAATGGCACAATCACAATTCCTGATAGAGACTCAAGTTAAAAGTTCACTTAATTTTTCACTTACCACTGCAGTAAGTAATCTACAAAGAAATTTACTTATGGCTCGTGAGATGACTTTAGCCAATGGTTTGATATCAGGTTTAGCTACGAATTATTATGTTGCCTATCCTGGTCAAGTAACTTCGTCAAAAGCTATGGGTATTATTGCGAATGTTTTTGAAGATGGATGTTCTTGTTCGAATGCTGGCGGTTGTCTTCGACCCGCTATCATCTCTGGATCTATCAATGAAAAAACAATAAATTCAACAAAAGTACCAGGTATAATGTTCAATTGTTTACCAATGGATGGTACACTTGCTTCAACATTTGAATGTTATTATGATACAGATTGTCTATCTTTAATTCAACAATATCTATCAATCAATGACACATTACAACCATTGAATGTATCAAGCCGTTTCTTTTACAATGTTACTATAAAAACATTGGTTGATGAATTAATGATTGAAAATTTAACAGTGAAACCTTTATTTTCTCTTTATTATAATGTATGCCATCCGAATTATTGCACTTATTCATTTTCACGTCGATTTGATATAATATATACTATTACATTAATATTCACTGCTGTCGGTGGAATTTCAGCTGCGTTACGATTTATCAGTTTGTTGATCATTAAGGTTTTATGTAAAATACGACAAAGATCAATTCGTCCTAACAATGAACAATCGTTTGTTTGTCATCGTAAGTAAAAATAAGATTGTTTGATCTTTGTGAAGTTTTTAAATTTTCATTTGAGCTCGAATATTAGGTATTCGACTCTGTACATTACTCAATAAGGCTAAAGATTTACTTATTAATCTAAACCTTTTCAAAAGTTTATCTCGTGATCCTGAAGTTATACATCGACAATGTATCATTACACGTATATTTATTGTCTGCCTTGGAACAAGTCTTATTATATTCAGTTTCTATACATTTCTCTCTATTCAAACAAAGGCCATTACAATTCCTAATCCATCAAGAACAGATTATGAATATCTATCAGAATTATATCCTGATACTCTACAATGTTCATGTTCACAAATTGCTATTTCATATTCTTCTTTCATGAAAATGGTGCACACATTTCATCAACTTTGTTCAAGTCGACTTACTTCATCTGATTGGTATAATCGTCTATATAAATCGAATGACACCGTTGGATACAATCGTAATAGATTTAGTTATACCTTTGCTTCTCAATACTTTCAAGCACTTGATGCATGTTGTTCATTATCAGAAAATACGATTAATAATGCGTACCGGTTATTTTCAGCGAATATGTTTGTTAGCAATCGTGTACTATCGGAAAGAATTTTTTCTAAACAAATGAACGCTGCCATTGATACATTTAAAATAGCAACACGTGCAGAATTCAGTCGTATCTTCGCATTTTTTCGTAATAATACTCAAACAGGTCAATTTTCTACTCGAACAAATTCGAATATGCAATTTTCACTCACTCCGAATGGTGGAGTATTAATGACGATCGCTACCCTTCCGGTTATGTCATCAGACTTGCCGGCTGGTTATCTTTTTATTTGTTCTTGTTTGAGTCAAAGTAATAGATGTGGTACGCAAGCATTTGTTTATGGTTCATCAGCAGGACTTAGTACTATTTATCTTAAAGATCTAATAATTAGATGTCTACCAACAGAAACAGCAATTAAATCAACACTCGAATGTTGGTATGATCCTATTTGTTATGACATCGTATATAAATCGTTTCTTATAAACGGAGTCGATTTAAACAACAGTATACCACTCAATGCTAATCTTACAAGCCGATTCTCGATCAATGCGTCTGTTCAAATGATCGTCGATGAACTTTTACTTGAAAACTGGACTTTGAGTGCTTCATACGATGATTTTTACAAACAATGTGCGCCTACATCATGTATATATACAATTCAACAACGTTTCGATTGGTTCCTTGTCTTCATTAATCTTTTAGGTATTTACAGTGGTTTGAGTAGAGGTCTTCGATTGATTCTTCCAATAATCATTCACTTATTCTTAATTATTATCCGATCAATTCGCGCGCGAAATCATCGTACAAAACCTTCAACATCCAATAGTCAAGAAATTCAATTTCATAACATTCCGGCCTCAAGATTATCTTGGCTTAGCAAAATAAAACAATATCTATGTACATTGAATCTTTTTCAACGCCCATCAAGTACAACAGAAACTTATCCACAAGAAATCATATCAACACGTCTCTATCTCATATTATTGATTAGTATTACAATCATACTTGTCTTATATACAGGTCTTATCGAACAAACTAAAAGTAAAACTATTTCTTTTCCATCACAATTTACCTATGAACAACTTCAACGTCATTATGCTAGTACTCTTCAATGTCCGTGCTCGAACATATCCATACTATACAACAATTTCGTCGTTAATATCAATGTCACATACCATCCTATCTGTTCTAGTGGTTTCATTACTGATAAATGGATAAATTTCTTCGGTCTTTACGTACTAAATAGCGCATGGTGGCTTCAAAATATTGATTTTCGTGCCTGGGGCATAATATATTTTCGATTACTTCAATCACTTTGTTCATTAGCTGATTCAACTGTAGCCGACGGTATCGGACAATTTTATGCTAGTGCATTTATATCCACTACAGCAATGTCTACGTCACAATTTCAAGTACAGATCGATGGTACTCTGGAACTATTTCAGAATTCTATTTTAACTTTATTTACTCGTCCATTAGAAATGTTTCGTGCTATTGCACAAGGTAATGCACTCATATCTACATTAGGTAGCAATTGGAAACCAATAGTTGGTCGTAATAGTATTGGAAGTTCTCTTGTAAATGTTCCGGTAATATATAATAATCAATCGTGTTCATGTGCTACAACAAGTTCTTGTTTTGACTCAGCTGGTTTCTACAATAACAGTCATACTAAATTATATACTATCAAAGGTATCGTACTCGGTTGTCTCTGTTTGGAATCGATACTTTTGTCGTCTTTATCCTGCTTTTATTCGAATTCATGTATATTTGAAATGATTAATGCGACTCTGCTTGGTAATCCAAGTAAACCAACAAAACTGCCTAATTTTAATTACTCAATTATACCACCATTGAAACTTTCATCTTTAAATTCGACATATCAAACTGATGACACAATTGAAACTCTTGTTTCTCGTTTGTTTGTTGATACTTGGTTGAGTGAAACGTCATATGAACGATATTACAATGCATGTACGCCTATTTATTGTATTTATTCATATGAACGTCGATTAAATGTACTCTATGCTTTAACAATATTTCTAGGTGTTTTTAGTGGACTTTCCCTAGGACTTCGTTTTATTATTCCACGTATTGTTAATCTGTTGTACAAATGTTGTATTCGTTGTAGAAATTCAAAAACACGACCACAATAGATAAAACTATTGCTCAATAAACTACTCAACAGATCTCTTCGTCGAATATGCGAGAAGCGACATTCATACAAGACAATATATTTCAAGCATTTTCAGTTCAAATTAAGTTAGTTAAATCGAGTGCGAATTTGTCGAATAGTTCGTTGTACAGCTGTGTTAAATTCTTCTTTATATTTTTCTGCTGTTAATACAAACACAAAAAATGTCATCATTGATGGAATAAATGAAAGAAAATAACCGAGAAGAAATAACCACGGATTTGTTGATGATTTCATGCATCCACTAATAAACGAAATGATAAGACGTGGTAAAGTTAAAATTAATAAGAGACATAGTGCAATGAAATGATGTTTATATTTGTGAAATTGTTGTTTTAAATGCTCGTTGAACGTTGTTAAATTTTGAATTGTTGAACGTGAACGAGCCATTAGTAAAATAATCATGATTGTTGAGATTAAATTAATCAAAAAAGGAATAAGAAAATGAAAAAGAATAATACAAATATTAAATACATTTAAAGTAGAAGAATATTCCACAATACACCATGTTCGTCGTTGGTCAACATCAATATCATCGACCAATTGACGATGAATAGGATCTTGAATACGTGTCAAGATTGCCATTAGAAATATACATAAACTAATCCATTTTGCAAATCTTTTACTTTTATTTTGATCAAATTTAATACCTTTTGAAACAGTTAATAACCGTTCAATAGCAACACATCCATAAAGCCAATCATTAGTTGAAATTAGAACATTAATCAACATATCTAACATTACACAATTGATTTGCAAATAGAATTGATTTGTTATTATCAACATTTGTGATAAAAGCAAATGCCAAAATTTCAGATAAAAAATCATAATTAAAACTAAAGAATTCCATGATGAAACTATAAATCAAACCTTTTACACTAGCTTACCATTTTAGGCTTTCAGAAACGTTAGCCGGAGGGAGCTACCGTCGTTACAGACGAAGAATTATAGTTGAAGCGACGAGTGTCGATCTTTCAGATCGACACTCGTCGCTTTCGCAGCCACACTCATGAATATGCAGAGCTACTTCATAGCTACCTTTCTTTCGTTCTTACATTATTGGCTTTGTATGTGTCACTAATACAAATATTTTAGAGAGCTCACCTTCCATGACGCGTATTGTTCGCTTCTATTCATCGTTGATTACTTCTCTGGACTGATAGTTCCTCTGCTGCGCGCACTTCTGCAAAACGCTCTGTTGTTCTTGAAGCCATGCGCGGTACCTCAGGCTAAATGTTACCTTCCACTTCTCTAGATATACTTTGTATGATCACAACCTTCACCCACACTCTCTTTTACAAAGAAGGTGCTTTCGGCTTTTTCCCTTTTTACTGCATAAAGCGAAGTCTGCCACTATTTGATTGAGTACCAACGCCTGCCAAAGCTGTTCCTGACATCTTTGGGTCCTCAATCAGGTGGCCGAGCGATCTCTTTCCGGTATCCATCAGCGCTTGATATTTTCCTACAAAGCCTCGAGGTCTCCAATACCGTGTAGATCAACTACTGATCTCNCTGATTTCATACATCGACTAATAAACGAAACGATAAGACGTGGTAAAGTTAAAATTAATAAGAGACATAGTGTAATTAAATGATGTTTATATTTGTGAAATTGTTGTTTTAAATGATCGTTGAACGTTGTTAAATTTTGAATTGTTGAACGTGAACGAGCCATTAGTAAAATAATCATAATTGTTGAGATTAAATTAATCAAAAAAGGAACAAGAAAATGAAAAAGAATAATACAAATATTGAATACATTTAAAGCAGAAGAATATTCTGCAATACACCATGTTCGTCGTTGATCAACATCGATATCATCGATCAATTGACGATGAATAGGATCTTGAATATGTGTCAAGATTGCCATTAGAAATATACATAAACTAATCCATTTTGCAAATCTTTTACTTTTATTTTGATCAAATTTAACACCTTGTGAAACAGTTAATAACCGTTCAATAGCAACACATCCATAAAGCCAATCATTAGTTGAAATCAGAACATTAATCAACATATCTAACATTACACAATTGATTTTCAAATAGAATTCATTTGTTATCATCGACATTTGTGATAAAAGTAGATGCCAAAATTTCAGATAAAAGACTATAGTTAAAACTAAAGAATTCCATGATGAAACTAAAAGATACATACTACACCCCGTCTGATTGATTTTTTCAAGACGAAATGTTCCAACGGATAACAAACCATTTGCTAATCCCAAAGCAAACATGATTGTTGTGATTAAAATACATATTTTAATAATAAATAATTGTTGACTCATTGATAAATTTGGTTGAATATGATAACCAAGAATAGAATCAAGTGAAAAAACAAAACGTTTCGTCGAAAATTGACATTTTGTTCCATAATAACATTCTTGACATGAACAAACTGATTGGACAGGACATTTGGGATTATCTTGAAAACATTGTCCACCATGTTGACAAATATTTTCTCCTCGACAATCATGTGACAATGATGTATTAAATGTAAAACAATTGGAAAAACGATTTGTATCACAGATACACATATGCTTTTCATCATAGAAACATTTGAGATCTTCGCTTTGTCGACATAACAATGGATACAATTTAACACGATGAAGAAAGAAATCATTTGCAAAACTTGTATTGGTTAATTGAATGAGACTTAAACATCGATAATTTGTTAAAATATTTGTTCGGATATGTTCAGAATCGAGAGATTTTTCTCTTAAAATTAGTAAATAATATGTACGATCAACTAATTCAATGAATACAAGATGAAATGAATAACTGATATGAATTGTAATTAGACTTTGTCCAATATTGATCTTTTTCAACACGCTTGTTTGTTGATGACGTTGAGTTACTAATCCTGTAATGAAATGAACATAGACAAATGGCAGAAGATTCATTTTCTCATTATCAAATTGAATGTCAATTCGATTTTTGTTAAATTCACATGTTGATCCGTAGGAGTTTTCTTGACATAAACAAATAAATTGTTTTAATCCAATTCGATCATCAATAGGTACACAACGACCGTGATTTTGACAAGGATTTGGTTGACATATCGAACGAGTTAGATAACATTTCGAACCAAATTTATTCATTGGACAGACACAAATTGATGATGAAAGACAAAGCGAATCGGATGAACAAGAACAATTATATTTCCTCTCACAAAATAAACCAGAATATCCTTGTTTGCATTGACAAAAATATGAGAAATTTCCATTAATATATTCAACACAGCGACCATGTTGACCGCAAGATAAAGAACATATTTTGGAAATCATTGGTGTACTTGGTATGAATAAATGACGTGCTATTCGATTAACAGGAAGAAATTGAAATGAAATAGGTAAATGCCAACTGGCTAAATATGTCAAAGATATTTTATTGAACACATCAATATGTATAGAATAATTTGCAGAAAGATTTTTTGGTTTCGTTGGATAAAGCAAATAGATATTATATTTTCTGCCACAATCTTGTTTTGGTATGTAAGTTATTTGTTCATGATATGTTGTTATTTGTCGTTGCTCATCGAGAAGCATAATAATAAGTTGAAAAACAATGTTGATAAAAGCATCTGTTCGATATTCTAGTTGTAATGTTAAACTAATTCGTTGATTTTGCCATTGACATCGTGAACCAAAGTAGCTTGGTGGACATAAACACTTTGTCGATTGGCTATGATTGAATCGAACAAGAATTCCTCGATTACAATACCAATTATTTAGTTTGTCAAATATTGTTGGAACGATTGTTGATTTCGTCGCTTCTGGAGTAGTTTTATTTGACGATGTTGTTGCTATCGATACTAATGGAAAATTACCTATTTGTGATGGTGTGAAAAAAGACTCCGTTTGGATCTCATCATTCATATCGCCGAGATCGAGCGGACAAATATTTGCTCGTAACATTGCTTTCCAAAATGAATATTCCCAAAAACAGTAAGCGATACTGGATACGCTACAAATATTGATATGTGCTGTATCTACTGTGATATATTTACATGCTGTGCGTAAAGTGTGACATTTCGGATGTGAAGTACAATATTCTTCACGACTAACATTAATTATATCATGAAGAGAATTATTATATTCAACAGGAACCATCTTAGCGTTGAATTTTTGTTCTATTAAATGCATTACAGGCTCACAGAATAAATTTGTTATTGCTGTTTTGAAACAAGCACCATCTTGTAGTGTATAGTATAGTCGAGGACAATTCTGTTCATCAGATATGTCAGGACAGTTTTGAATACCATCGCATCGAGTATAAGGATTATTACATGGCCAATGTTCGCAATTGGTTTCATCGGTTTCGTTTCTTCTCAATAATAATGGATGTTTTTTTCGATCACATATGATGCCCATTGATAGATATCCATTGAAAATATTTCGGTCATATTCATTCATTTCATCTTCTTTATCTTTACATTCATTTCTGCCATTAAATAATGCTATTGATGATAAACATTTATTTGGTTCAGATGTACAGGTAAATCGTTGCGAGTCATTCAATTGACAAGAAGGAAATGTTTCATCTTCATTATAATAACAATCAGATAAACCATCAACGAGACGATGTTTTGATATGCATTTCATTGACATTGGACAATGGAAGAGAGATGAATGAGAACATGCTCGTTCGTTTCCAGTTGTTGCACAACGAAAAGGTAGTTCGTTCAAAGCTTCGTCTAGTTGGTTTGTATTAGTCAGCGAATTATTCAATATTTGATGAGGATGACAACAAGTGAGTTCGGTGTCTAATCCAATGTCAGTAGCATATTTGATAAACCCAGGACAAGTTTCTGTGCGATAGCAAATAAAATCTGGTTCGTCAACATAATAAAAATCGTCAAACAATCGATTAGGTAGATAGATGAAATAAAACATAAGATGGATTTTAGGTACTTCAACTTTAAAATACCATTTTGATAGACATTTGTGATCAATAGACTCGCACAATATCATTGAAAATCTTGACTGGGTCTTGCTTAATGTTTGATTGAGAATGACTGTAGATGCATCTAGTGTAGATTTGCGAAGTTCATTTAGAGTTTCATGTGGAATATTTAAATAGTCATTTTTTGCCGATAGAAATAATAGTATATGTCGACCGTTATTACACATGGCATCCTGAAATGAATCGAGTAAATGAAAAGGAATAAATTGACCGTCGCCGCATTGCAAAGAAGGTTGAAATCGGCTACTACGTTCCTCACATCGGAATGTTGGAACCGTATAGCAATAATGTCCGAAAAGATCACTCTTACTTGCATAAAGTTCTGTTTCATCAGTCCCATCCAGACACTCGGCATTATTACGTTCATCTCGTAGAAATATTAACGGTATACATTCACCACTATATTGACAACGATAACTATCATTGGAACATTCGTTCGTTGCTAGTCTTTCACAATATTGTTCGTCTTCTCCATTAGTACAATCAACTTTTCCATCACAGATCTCTCGCCAATCAAGACACATAAATTTATATTCAAGATAGCAATTAGATAAGAACGGATAGCATGTACCAATGTTGAAATCGGGTAGTTCGTCATAAATATGTGAGCGTGCCATAAAATTCAATCGAGCAATGTCATGAAATGACGAGGATAATTCTTTATCAAACCTATATTGACATCTTGAACCAAACCATGGTAATGAACAATTATAGAAAATTGCCGTCGGATCTGCATGATTCATGACATAATGTTCAATTAGATCAATGGGTGCTGACCAATTGAATAATTGGTCAATTGTCACATTGTTTTCATATAATTTTTCAAATGTAATGTTATTGAAAACGTTACTAAGTGGAATAAATGAGTCTTGTTCGATTAATTCTTCATTGTCTGCTGGCCGTCGACAGTAGGGAATCAAATGATAAGTTATACGGTTAGTAGTATCGTCATATTTTTCACTATCTGTTGAATAAGCATAAAGGCAATCGAATCCAAAATTAAATAATCCAACTTGATCGGAATGATATATCGAATGTTGTGTATGGAATAATGCGAATAGTTTGAAAAATATCAATAAATGTAAAAGCTTCATGCCTGGTTTAGAGAAAATAGATATAGGCAAATGTTTTCAATTGCATTTCTGTAAAATCATTTTCTGGAACAGATTGTGTTCTGCATAAAAATGCAAATTTGCATATCCGAACAGCAAAAAGAACTGATGTCAATACCTAAATGCATTTTTCGTCTTCATCGTTTAATCATAATCTATTCAACAGCAAATAGTAACATTTGTCTTGCTAATGTATTATCTATTTACAGTAGCACTTTTATTGTTAAATACAAAGTATAAAACTAGATCAAGATATCTAAGAGAAATATTTCACATCAAAATATCAAAATCGTATCGTTTCTTTTCGAATCCTTGTATACCTTCTTAAATTCTTGTTCAATGTCTCTTTCAAAAAGCAACATTCTTTCGGGTGTCTCCACGAAATCTTTTGCAAAACAGCTAACTTTCAATAAGAGATGAAAAACTTGATTTCCGCCGCGTTCCTGTTTGAAATTATTCACCAAATATTTGCCAGTTAAGACTCTTTCATGTACTTCTAAAAAAGACACAACCTGAATTTTGACAAAATACTCCAATATTGGCAAAACATAATTTGCGATTTGAGCATATGTCTCTGTATTGCATAAATCGAACACATGGTCGATAATATCTCGATCGAATACTTTGAGTAAGGTCATAAATGATTCGTTGTTATCGAACGAGGCATATCCGAGTAATTTGAGCATTCCAACAAGTTCCATTGTGAACACAGCGAACATGGCATATAGTTCGACTAGTGACTTGTTGTCATTTTGATTATTCATGCAACAACGATAGAGTTCTCTTTTAAACTCTATCTCACCATGTTTTCCTTGCCTAACAGCGTCTCGAAATTCATTCAATTTTCTTCTGCTGATTGCCAATGCAATTTTGATATAATCAGGAGCTGGCTCGTATAAATAATTGCAGTTAGCCGTACTACGTAGATAATTGAATAAATCATTGATGAATGTATTCATAAGATCCGAGGAGTATTTGTGCAAATGATCAATGACTTCGTTGTCGAACATTAAGCCGAATCCAATTTTTGTATTATACAATGTTTGTTGTAATAATATTTTGTATTTCATTTCAGCTGTCAAATCCGATTTATGTTTATACCAACTCGATATTGTATTATGAGTTATGTTCGAATATTCTATAAAATTTAAACAGAAAGCTGCTCTGATAGCAATAAGATTTGAGTACGATGCTTCTGCAGATAGGATAGTAAGAGCATTTCTCAGCTCATCTGAAACATTCTTCTCCATATTTAAGTTGTCTAAAACAAGTAGATAATTTCCGTATGCCAATAAAGAAACGACCAAAACATCGTCTGAGTATAAATTTCTTGATGAAATCACGTTCTCTAAACACGTGATTGTATCACTTTGTAAAGTAAGACTTTCTTTCAATCGAGCCAATTTCTTGGCCATTTGAGGACCACGAGCACATTGCATAGAAATACGTTCTGCTTGTGAACGAATATCAATGTATATAGAATTGACAACGTACACGATGGCTTTCTGAACTGCAGATCTCCCATGATAATCAAAAAATTGTAAGATACTTTTGTATAAGTTTACCGCAAAGTTGTCTGTTGTTGCTTTTCGAGTACATTTCATAAGCATCCATTGAACAATGACGATGAGATAATTCTCTTTGACGAAGTTTTCGAGTTGTATCTGATCAATTATACACGTACAAAGATGTTTAACGAGATAGCTTTGCAACTCTTGGGAACAATCATTGACGATTGAGAAGAATGAACGAGGTACATTCTCCTTGATCCGTTCAATTTCTAATTCCAAACATAATTGCAGCATATCTTCAGAGTAGATCGAAATATAGATCTTAGAACAGTAATTGGCATTTTTATGTAAAGCGAATAAAAGATGACGGACAGCTGTTGAATTCATCAGACGAGAACTGATCAAATGCTCAATGATCGGTTTCAAGATGAATTCAGTATCAACAATAAGCATCTCGTCAATGATTTCGGTCTCGTCAGCAATGTCTGAACCTTCAATAATCAGCTGTAATGCAGCATAATGAGCAAAAAATCTGAAACCTTCACACGTTCGATAATTCAGCCATTTGCAAACTTCTAAAGGTCCTGCTTTATCGATCATCAAGCACTGAGATACATCTTGAATAACTTGAGAGAGTTCGAGTTTGTTCAACATATACAGATGATCTGTGATCCATGATGCTACTCTCGATGTCAGCAATTTCTTGACTTTTGATGTTTCATTCCACAGCAGATCCAGCTCGTCTAAAAGCGAAAGTTTATTCGTACCATTGTTCTTGATATGCATTGTTAAGATTTGATTGTCAAAGCATAATTCAGTTAAGTACATCGATGCTAGTAACGTGATATTCAATGATTCAAATGAATTTGTATTTGTAAAGAAGTTGTGGAACATTGAGGAATGAAATTGGAGAAGATCATATATGTTGTTTGTTCGTTTTATAAACTGTGATAAACATGACGAAAGTTGTGGATCGTTAAGACTTTGTAATGCGATAAATGCTACCTCTTGGCTTTGTTCATCATTGGCATAGTCATTGAATTTTTCTGCAATTACATTTGACATCTCTTGATATTCTATATGAAACAGACGATTAGTTGGATAACACTGAATAAATAAAACAACTGCTGTTGGTAATGGAAGACTGGGTAATAGATATTTGAGTAAAATTGTCATTTCCCACAGTAACTTATTTCTTGCTTCGATTTCAAATATTAAAGGATCTTTCATGTTCAAGATAATACTCAAAGCCATTATTCGTAAAACTGGATCGATGATGCTGCTAATCGTAGAATACACTTCGTTGTTGTTCACATCAGAAATGTGGCTCGTTTTTGTTGGATAAGAATCATTTAAACGATGTTGAGCTTGAAAAAGCCGTGCTAGAGAAATCGATGCCGCGAAAAGTTGTTCATCTGTTATCTGATTTTGTGCTGTTCCTTTCGCTTGGAAAATTCGTTGTCGTTCCTCGTCAATGAGTCCTTCATAATTCAGTGGTTGATCAAGAAGAAACGGATCCAGTAGATTACAGTCTTCCATTACTTGGAAAAGTTTCTTATAATTTTTATTTTTACGTTGAACAGGGTAACAGTTGGTTCTAAAGTGTATCAAAGCATAATTCTCTAGCATATGCTCTTCCATTAATATATATAAAACCGGTAAAGTCAAACCGAAATTCAAATTGTTCTTATCAACATCGTCTAAGTGTACTAAGCATTGTGACAGGAATACAACAAATGGTAACGAAGTTGATGTGATGATTGTGTGACGATACAGTGCTTGCAAAGATTTCGGAAGAAAATTTAGTAACCAGGGTGATTTCTCTTGTGAATTAATGTTTACGATGATGTCAAATAACTTTTCATCGCTGAATAGATGAATAAATTTTGGTTGATGTGAAAAATATTCATCATCATCATCATCATCGTCTTTGTTTAGAATATTGGTTATATCCCATAATTCAAGTTTTTCCCACGCAGACGCACATGCAACTGATAACGCTGTTCGTTGTTCATCGGATTGACCATGTTGTGACACAAGCACGTTCATGATCGACTCGATTTCTGATTTAACCACCGAAGTATCATTGCAGCCGATATCATCGTCCGTAAAGGTATGCAATTTTTTCCCGAAGTAGAACCATGTTCGTTTAAGTCTATCAATTGCTACTGTTAATGCTAGATATCCATCATAAGTTGCGTAAATTGACGGTTGTGAAACACCTTGCAAGCAAATTAATGCAACAAAACTATCGATAGTATCATTTGAAAGATCAGATGGCAATGATTTTTCAATATTATTTTTATACTGTTCGATAAGCTTTTGAGTTTTGACAGCATGAGACTCTTCGCTATTGTCGAAATAGTCGATAAGGGGTGCGATAAGCAATGATTCACAATGCATTTGTTGTGTTGAAAAAGCCACCTTCAACGTGCCCGAATCATCCTGGAAATATATTCCACCGTATAATGCAATAATGACGGAGAGAATCAGCGGATGGATGTCGGATTCAGAAATATGATTCGATCGGAGACATGACTGCAAAGTTTTCCTAAAGCATCGATTGGATAATTGATGTAAGTTAACGGTTCGTCGAAATATTTGATCGATGATGAACTCAAATGATGGATTTATTTCTCGAAAAGACCATAGCTGTTGATAAATGATAGATTTGATTTGTTTTCCATCTGGCAAATGCTTTTTATCAAATTTACTAGTGCTGTCCATTAAACTTTGACAGAAATTCGCAAGACGTTCCTCATCTTGTAGGTGCGATCGCATATAGTCGATTATCATTTTTCTGTCAAGTTTCAACAGACTCGGTATTAAATACGTATTTCTAATTGTGTTCGACGGATGATCAGCTATATTATTGAGTGCAGTGAAAATGATCGAGTCCGACGGTAAACTTTGCATATCACCGAGTACTTCGAATAAAAGAAGTGTTCCAAACGGAATTGAGTAACCTTTAGTTGGGTTAACAAGTAATGATAAAACTTTGTTATAATCATTCGGTGGCCATTTCCAACTAATCCAGCTAATTGCTAAACAAATTGACTGACGAAAACGAGGATGAATAATAATTGAAAGGATACGTTGTGCAATTTCATCAGCCGAACCTTTAACTAAATATTGTGCAATGAAATATTCTTGAAATGATAAGTGAAGAAAGCCAAAGATCTGTAAGCCTCGTTCAGCAAAGATACCAACACCCTGTTCCAATGACGAAATGAAGTTTTTCGCCTGTTCATTTAACGTTTTTCGATCATGTGATACTCCTTGTTGTTTCAACACCAATCGGCATAAACTTGTCATATCGAATTCATCGATAAGGCCCGATGATGAGTTCAAATGAAGGTAACCCGCAAGTGCGATCAGAAACTCAATTAGTACAGTTTCTGACATATTCAATTGTTGATTTCTCCACCGACGTAACGATATTTGAATAGTATGATCATAAACTTCAATGGGCGATTTTGGATGGAATCTGTCAGGTGATTGAAAGACAAAAGTGCATATCATCGACAACAAGGAAGGACTTTCCATTAGCACTTGTGAATAATTTTTCAATATTGATTGCATAGCTTTCCAGCGGACGTCGAAAAAACTTTGCATATCTTTTTCATGAAGTTTGATACCTTCATTCGATAAAATATATTTCACTTGTTCGCCTATCTGTGACATCCATTCTCTTATGAATGCATTCGCCTGTTGATAATTCATTAATGATAACGAATAATGTTTAATAAAAGGACCAACAAGTGGATACAATTGATAGCCGACTTCACGGCTGGTGACAATTATTTGATTTCCACCTGATTCACCAGGTGATCTTACTTCAATGATCTTCGCCTCGTACGATGGTCTCTTATTGAACATTCGATTATCGAATGCTGAGAAGAAATTCGCCGAATGGACATGTTCGCTAATAAAGTTCCTTACTAGCTGAACGATCTCGCCTCTTCGTTCGACTTCAGTTATTTCATCAAGTCCATCGAGTAGAATTAAAGCATGACCTTGCCGAATCAGATCTTTTAATACAGCTTCATTATCATCGTGATAATGTTCGGAAAACCACGTGTGTCCGCCAATATAATCCATTAACGTTTTATCTTGGTGTTTTTCAAGCCATGTTGCAAATTCTCCAATGCGGATTAAAATCGGAATACGAATCGGTAGTTCACGACCGTGAAGAGCGAATTCTGCGAAAAGACGCGTAATCCATCGAAGGAGTGTTGTTTTTGAACTGCCTGGATCACCCAATATCACAATCCATCGATTGTATTCAAGCACATTCGTAATTGTTTCCACTTGGTAATCTTTTGAGACTACGCCTGTGCCTTTCACTGAAGGTAAGAACGCAGCGAGACTAGTGCCAACCCTATTGTACGTGCTATCGTCTGTAGTTAGTGGAGTCTTTAATGGTTTAAGTAACTTATCCGAACAGTCGAAATCAATTGTAACGTATTTTAGCTTCTCGTTTAGGTTGTGACGAATTTCCGAGGTGATGGAATAAGTTTTGAAAAAAGAATCGCCAATACTGTCTACCAAACCTTGCACCTGGATTCTGGAATGAAGCGAAACACATTTCTGGAGGTACTTAATGAAGAACGTCTGATTTTCGTGTAGAAACTGTTTCAAATTCTTTCGAAGTCCTAAAGCTTGCTCAGTATTTAATTCACGTTCTTCTAACACTTTTTCGAAGCGCATCATTTCATTAATTCGTTCGCGGTCGTTAACTATGTGTTCGTCACTATTGGATTTCTTCAATATATGGAAGATATCATCGTACAGCTCAATCCAAAAGCCTTGTGAAAGTGATTCGTTGTAATCCATCAATCGTTTGAGTCGTCGACAAAACAATCGTGTTGATTCGTTATTGATCGAATCTGTTTCAAGTAGACAATTAAGAAGATCACGCGTCTCCAACAATCTGAATCTCGTCGAATCTAGTTCGAATGATGGTAAGGATTCGAAAACTTTATTGACGGAATCTATTGCACGTTTGATAACTTCATCCATGATCAGCCGAACAGTGGATAAGCGTAGTGGTGAAATGAATTAGTAATTGCTAAACGATAAAAATTTATCTGAAATAAATGATCTTAGAGTTTGATTCCACTTAGAAATGGCGTTACAGAAAAAGAAATAATCACTGATTTTGCTTTTACTTACAACAGTCAACTTTAGAAATTTGTACACAACGTACTAGACACACTTTTTTCCTGACAACGAAATAGCAGAAAAATCGATTCTAACCGACGACTTCAATATAAAACGAAAGCAACTATAAGAGTATTAATTATACGATCGACTATGTTAATCATCAATTCTTATATAGGGCAGCCGAATGAAATTAGTTTTTATTTATATACTCCCTTTCAGTCGTCAGTTTGTGCCTGTCTGAAATGCCCTTTTGATTCACTATCTCGTAGACAAACGGGAGAAAGAGAAAACACGTGGGATGCCTTTTATGCTCTGAATGATAGATATCAGAATTATTTTTCTCTTTCTTTCCTTCCAACTATGAAATAACGGTTAACATGGCAAATAGATTAACATATACGTCTTTTTTCTGTTTATTCGCACATGTATTTCTTCCTCGATAGTGACCTCTACATACGAGAGAAAACGAGAATGTTTCCATACGTTACACACTACGAATGGCTTTTACTATTATTCATAGCCGCAGTGATCTTCTAACAAAGTATGCAAAACTTTATTTCCAAACGGTGACTTTTATTGCCTGTGCAAAAACAAATTTGAAAAAAAAGCTCATTTGACCAGTAAAGACAGATCGTGAACTTAAGGCGTCAAGTAATAAGACGACGAAAAGGAAAATATCACTCTGTCCATAGATTCATACATAAAAAATTGTCTATGAAATGATAATATAACTGCCATTTTTTAATTCAGTGCACAAGAACAACGAATAGATCCATATTGAACTAATCGACTTTCGGTAATACTGTTATTGTTTGTATCTGATTATAGTTAATAAACGTGCGTTGATGGATATTGATTGCCGGATCCATTTGACGACGTCCGGCTTTAACTAAAAGAATATTTTTGACTTGTTTATTTGTCAAAAGTATTGCTATCGAATCGAGAGCACATCCCGATGCAATGCTGAGATGAACGACAAGAATTAATGCTGGTGAGTAATAGCCCATTTGATGAAATATTGTCGAGAAAAAATATGGTGTACCACCAATGACGAGAATACCAGTGTAAAGAAAGATCTTTTTGAATACCTTTATATTTCGTTTTGCTCGCGAAGTACTTAGATTATTCGTACGAATCCTTTTCTGTTGGACTATATGGAAAACGATCGCTCCGTACAAAAGAATTATTGCATTTAAAGGAATGATGAAAACCACGATTGCAGCTATGAATGCTGCAAGAAAATGCTTTGTTGTTAAAACGCATAGGCCAGATTCAACTTCGTAGACATACGCGTATGGACAAAGAAATGTTGCAATTGCTACGATGGCACTCAACACCCAGCTAATAATAATAATGAACCAATGAGTTTGAAAGGAGAGAAGGTATCGAAGTTTAGAAAGCATTGTTATAAAGTAACAAGAGACCGCCATATTCAAAAATGAGTATGATACGATAAATGTCGAACACGTATAGATAAACGAACGTATTTTACAAAGAAGAAAACTTGCGTCACCAGGATTGTTTTGTAGAACAAAGGGGACTTGAAGCGCAAGTGCTAGACTATAGAGAAATAATGCAGAACAAGAGTTGCATGTGAGAAGGTTAGCTGTCGATCGACATTCTAATCGCCAGTGAGTTGTGATCACCAGCAGAACGGTTAACGAAAATAGAATCGTAATCGAAGCCAATACAGCATAAAGAATACCAACGATGGTGATAGTAGACATCTTCGCATTTACTTAAACCAACTGACAGAATTACAAAAAATAATTAGAGAAGGAATGAAGGTGTGTACATGCCTAGGAATCCAAGCGCATGTCACTTGCAGCAAAATAAAATGTCAAATATTTTTATTAATATAGAAACGAAAGATGCATAAAAATTCTTGAATTTTCCATATCTATCGTTATTAGTTACGAGATTCAAGCCTGTAGCAAAATTATTACTCTACGACTAAAAGGAGACTTTTTTTAGGACGAGAAAGATAATATTTTATTGGAAAAAGTTTAATGTAATGTTCCAGAGAAGTTTAGAAAGATTTTGCAAAGCGTATGTATCAAATACCCGTCAAGGGTTCTGGATTTTCATGCAAAAATTTTCGTAACGATCCGTATAAAAAAATACATTAACAGCGTCCACTTAGTCGCATTTGCATTTTGTTTTCAGGAATCCACCACAACGCCCACCTGATCTTCCTTGACGACAACATTTTCTTGCACATGCACTTTTATCAAACGGACATCTGATTCCGGCAAATGAACCATCGGGACCACATGTAGCATCTCTGTGATCATTTGTACAAACACAATCTGATCGACCGTTAATTTTAGGTTTATATTCTGTCTGTCCTGGCCCACCTAGATCTATTTGAGCACCACCCATAATACTTCCTTTGCAAGAGCCAGTAAGATAGCCGGCGTGACAACAGAACTTATCACAACTTTCTGTTTCTTCGTCGGTGGGTCTTCCGATAACCTTTCTACAAACAGGTTGGACCAATTTGCCACAAACACCTGTAACTGTCGCTTGAGTTTTTTCTGGAAGTGCTTTATAATTATTCCATCGAGCTTGAAGTGCCGCTCCGCGCTATGAATAGAGGAACAATTGACAAAATCCAATCATTAGAATTACATTCAAGAAGATTTTCGGAAACAATGTGATTTGCAAATAGCATTCTAAATTTCCTGCAAAGCACTACGAAAAAACATTCGAAGACTGCCGGATTGAGGTATTTATTTTATTCTCTCGTAATTCTATCGTGTCGGTACTCAAAACTGATAATCGATTTTGAAGTCTAATCGAAAAGTAGAAAACGGGAAAAAACTAGCTATTCGTAAGGTCATCTCGTTATCTCTTCAATAGTTGAGGAGGATTATCGCGAATTATTTAATCGTTCTAAATCAATTGTTGACCGAAGTGATATATCTCAATGTATTATAAGATATCCTGGAGCGAGTTGTTTTTCTAAACTCTTTGAATAGAGATGCGTATTATTGCTATAGTCATCTATTAACCATACCGTCACATCAGAAGCTATTAAATAGTCAGGATAATGCCAGTGAGAACGCTGAGATACTGACCTGAGGATCTGGAAACCAAGTCCACGAATGACTTTTTCCAATGATTATTAACACTAAAAAAGAAAAATACACAACGTGTAATGTACAATACAGTCAGCTCAGCCAAGAACGCTCCCGACTTACCAGCAACTAAGACTGGAAATAATGTATGAGTGTAAACCATATTGAACTAAAATGATAGACATAAATGTGATAATTTCTGATAAAGAAACGACCGCATCCTTAAGATGACATGGTCCTACGGTGAATAAACTGTTTTTTTTAAATGCAAAGCATATCATAGAAAAACATCAAAATTTTCTCTTTCAATAAAAGAATGATCGCACACTTACTGTATTGTTGTCTTGATATTTGTTATTTGCTAGTAGATGAATTGTGTTTGTGTGCAATACACGTCGTGCGTTATATATACACAGATATACCGTATTTCCCACGGCGCGCTCTCATATATGTAGTTCCTTGTTTTTCAGTATGAAATACCAATAAAATATCGATTGCACTTCCTCTCAACATTCAGAGTCATATCTGACGACAGGCTTAGTTAGTAATCGATAATTGCGCCGTACCGATGGAAACGACGTAATCAATTTCTGCTTAATCTCACCGTCAATATGTCATAGTTAGTGGAAGCTAAGCAGATTCATTTTCAAGCTTGTACGCCGCTGGTGACAAGTGTATATGAAATCATCTCCATATGTTGTTTTTTTTCTTATCTCTCATATTAATTAACTATTCATACGTACTGAATAAAATATTACTCCATATTATGAATTAATCTATTGTGGTATTGTATAGTTATTGTATTGGTCTGTCTCTAGTAAACCATGATAAATAAATAAGATGGTACCGATACTCCCGTTATTTAATAATGAATATATGAACTGAAATATAGAAAATGTTTGGAAATTGTTAAATATGTTTTTATTTAGTAAAATTTCGAAAGCATGTGCAATTGGCAGTCGGTCTGATGCACAGAAACACTGCACTCAGTCAGTAACCAGTACTTCTTCTTTCATTTTTAATTCTGGTAGTTGAACAAACATATGCTCGATCATTGCAATGTATTCATTTTTAATTTGCGTCAGTATTTCCAAATTGCATGTCGGCTCTCTCATTAAATACTGTCTCAATCTTGAATCATATTCCGCTACTTCTGTTTTGGTATACAGTTCTCTATTTTCTTTAATTAAAGCCATTGTCTGACCCAGCTGAAACGCAATCAATTTCACAGTTTCAATTAAATCTTTCTCGGATTGTTTAAAATTGAGCTCTTGAAAACAAATTGGCTTAAGTGCATCGATACGAAGATAAAGTTTGTTTGCTTTCAACGCGTTTTTAACATTATGTCGTTGTTCAGATTTTGTCAGTTGAGACAGAATAGCTCGTGTAGCACGAATAATTTTCTTTTCACGATCACGAGAAACGAGACGCTGGATTTCGAGTGGATGATGTTGTGTATGCAGATGATATGTACTGAAGACACTGTTATTGGTTTCATCAGGAATGCCCTTTAACACCCATGTGATTATACCATCTGTTAGAACTGCAAGATTTATATTGACAGGCTTGTCGTTTGAGAAGCAGTGCAAATCTTGAAATTCATAAATGAACTTGTTCATTAGTTTTTGACATTCGGTATATGTAGATGGTTTTTGATAGTCTTTCAGAAGGACTAATATATCAGTATCGAGACTGTTTTCCGACCCGAAGACGTAATACGGAAGACCAGAGCGAATGGATACGGGTTTAAAATAGTCAATGTTACCTATAAAAAACGATCAATATTTTACACTGAAGCATTTTACGAAATAGACTTGGAATTAATTAATATAGGTCGAAGTTATCGAGGTATGGAAATTTTTCTGAAAACGTGTGCAACGATGAAGAAACCTAGTATTCAGATGTTGAATTTTGCGTATCTTACTCTGTAGATAATAAAACCTACGACGACTGAATTTCAAGGAAACTCCTACTAACTTGATTCAGTCGAAAAGTTTTAACTCACCTAATACAGTTAGTTGTTGAACTATTTCTTCTCTAAATTTCTTATTTTGTTCTAATAGTGATGCGATTTTGTCTTTATATTCTTCTCGGCTCTCAATCACTTGCTCTTTTCTTGCATTTAATGTTTCAATCAACTCCGTTTCATTAATTGATGTTTTCTCCATTTGTCTCATAAACGAATTTATTTGTTGGGAATACTTTTCTAATTTCGAATAATGATCGTACACAACACGGTCACATCGGTCCAGATGTTTGTTCAGGTTATAAACTCGATGTCGTTTCAGGATTTCCGGAATATGACAGTCTATAGACGAACTTGTGCATATGGGATCAATCGATGTATTTTGTACGAGAACATGATCTATTACATAATTTAAAATATCTGGTCCTGTTTGAGTAGGATCGGACGGAGCAGTGAATGTTAGCGAAATTTCAGTATCGGAAATTTTAGTTTCAGTTATCTGCAGAATGGTATCCGGAATGAATTCGTGTTCTTCTCCAATTTTCGGTTTGAATGTGTCATTCGAGATAACTATCGCTCGATGGTACATCCCAATATGTAAAGCAATTGCGTCTTCATAACCACCCGTTTGATCGTAATACAGTGAATTAGCTGCCGGAATAACCAACACATGTCCATTTTTTATAAGACGAAAGAACTCTGATTTCACTTGATCACCATAATTTCCACTAGTAATTCCAATATACTTTGAAGGCGAAATAACCATTCCAACTGTTTTACATCCTTGCTCTATGAAATAATCAATTAATACAACCACGATCCGTTGTGAGAAATTATCAGCATCGATGATTATGTTCACTTCAGAAAGTCGAGGATTTGATGGCATGTCGATGTGGATTGAAACGTTTGCCCAACAATGTTCTCGACTTACATCACAATCGCGTTTACCATATGGACTACAACGGCANGCCAAAATTTCAGATAAAAAATCATAATTAAAACTAAAGAATTCCATGATGAAACTAAAAGATACACACTACAGCCAGTCTGATTGATTTTTTTAATACGAAATGTTCCAACGGCTAACAATCCATTTGCTAATCCCAACGCGAACATGATTGTTGTGATTAAAATACATATTTTAATAATAAATAATTGTTGACTCATTGGTAAATTTGGTTGAATATGATAACCAAGAATAGAATCGAGTGAAAAAACAAAACGTTTTGTTGAAAATTGACATTTTGTTCCATAATAACATTCTTGACATGAACAAACTGATTGGACAGGACATTTGGGATTATCTTGAAAACATTGTCCATCATTTTGACAAATATTTTCTCCTTGACAATCATGTGACAATGATGTATTAAATGTAAAACAATTGGAAAAACGATTTGTATCACAAATACACATATGCTTTTCATCATAGAAACATTTGAGATCGTCATTTTGTCGACATAACAATGGATACAATTTAACACGATGAAGAAAGAAATCATTTGCAAAACTTGTATTGGTTAGTAGAATGAGACTTAAACATTGATAATTTGTTAAAATATTTGTTTGAATATGTTCAGAATCGAGAGATTTTTCTCTTAAAATTAGTAAATAATATGTACGATCAACTAATTCAATGAATACAATATGAAATGAATATCTAATATGAATGGTAATTAGACTTTGTCCAATATGGATCTTTTTCAACACGGTTGTTTGTTGATGACGTTGAGTTACTAATCCTGTAATGAAATGAACATAGATAAATGGCAGAAGATTCATTTTCTTATTATCAAACTGAATGTCAATTCGATTTTTGTTAAATTTACATGTTAATCCATAAGAATTTTCTTGGCATAAACAAATAAATTGTTTTAATCCAATTCGATCATCAACAGGTACACAAAGGCCGTGATTTTGACAAGGATTTGGTTGACATATCGAACGAGTTAGATAACATTTCGAGCCAAATTTATTCATTGGACAGACACAAATTGATGATGAAAGACAGAGCGAATCGGATGAACAAGAACAATTATATTTCCTTTCACAAAACAATCCAGAATATCCTTGTTTGCATTGACAAAAATATGAGAAATTTCCATTAATATATTCAACACATCGACCATGTTGACCGCAAGATAAAGGACATATTTTAGAAATGATTGGTGTACTTGGTATGAATAAATGACGTGCTATTCGATTCACAGGAAGAAATTGAAATGAAATTGGCAAATGCCAACTGGCTAAATATGTTAAAGATATTTTATTGAACACATCAATATGTACTGAATAATTTGCAGAAAGATTTTTTGGTTTCGTTGGATACAGCAAATAGATATTATATTTTCTGCCACAATCTTGTTTTGGTATGTAAGTTATTTGTTCATGATATGTTGTTATTTGTCGTTGCTTATCGAGAAGCATAATAATAAGTTGAAAAACAATGTTGATAAAAGCATCTGTTCGATATTCTAGTTGTAATGTTAAACTAATTCGTTGGTTTTGCCATTGACATCGTGAACCAAAGTAGCTTGGTGGACATAAACACTTTTTCGATTGGCTATGATTGAATCGAACAAGAATTCCTCGATTACAATACCAATTATTTAGTTTGTCAAATATTGTTGGAACGACTGTTGATTTCGTCGCTTCTAGAGTCGTTTTATTTGATAATGTTGTTGTTATCGATACTAATGGAAAATCACCTATTTGTGACGGCGTGAAAAAAGACTCCGCTTGGACCTCATCATCCATGTCGCCGAGATCGAGCGGACAAATATTTGCTCTTAACATTGCTTTCCAAAATGAATATTCCCAAAAACAGTAAGCGGTACTCGATACGCTACAAATATTGATATGTGCTGTATCTACTGTAATATATTTACATGCTGTGCGTAAAGTGTGACATTTCGGATGTGAAGTACAATATTCTTCACGACTAACATTAATTGTATCATGAAGAGAATTATTATATTCAACAGAAACCATCTTAGCGTTGAATTTTTGTTCTATTAAATGCATTACAGGTTCACAGAATAAGTTTGTTATTGCTGTTTTAAAACAAGTACCATCTTGTAGTGTATAGTATAGTCGAGGACAATTCTGTTCATCAGATATGTCAGGACAGTTTTGAATACCATCGCATCGAGTATAAGGATTATTACATGGCCAATGTTCGCAATTGGTTTCATCGGTTTCGTTTCTTTTCAATAATAATGGATGTTTTTTTCGATCACATATGATGCCAATTGATAGATATCCATTGAAAATATTTCGGTCATATTCATTCATTTCATCTTCTTTATCTTTACATTCATTTCTGCCATTAAATAATGCTATTGGTGATAAACATTTATTTGGTTCAGATGTACAAGTAAACCGTTGTGAGTCATTCAATTGACAAGAAGGAAATGTTTCATCTTCATTATAATAACAATCAGACAAACCATCAACAAGACGGTGTTTTGATATGCATTTCATTGATAGTGGACAATGAAAAAGAGATGAATGAGAACATGCTCGTTCGTTTCCAGTTGTTGCACAACGAAAGGGTAGTTCGTTTAAAGCTTCATTTATTTGGTTTGTATTAGTCAGCGAATTGTTCAATATCTGATGAGGATGACAACATGTGAGTTCGGTGTCTAATCCAATGTCAGTAGCGTATTTGATAAACGCAGGACAACTTTCTGTGCGATAGCAAATAAAATCTGGTTCGTCAACATAATAAAAATCGTCAAATAATCGATTAGGTAGATAGATGAAATAAAACATAAGATGAATTTTAGGTACTTCAACTTTGAAATACCATTTTGATAGACATTTGTGATCAATAGACTCGCACAAAATCATTGAAAATCTCGACTGGAACTTGCTTAATGTTTGATTGAGAATGACTATAGATGCACCTAGTGTAGATTTGCGAAGTTCATCTAGAGTTTCATGTGGAATATTTAAATAGTCATTTTTTTCCGATAACAATAAAAGCATATGTCGACCGTTATTACACATGGTATTCTGCAATGAATCGAGTAGATGAAAAGGAATAAATTGACCGTCACCGCATTCCAAAGAAGGCTGAAATCGGCTACTACGTTCCTCACATCGGAATGTTGGAACTGTATAGCAATAATGTCCGAAAAGATCACTCTTACTTGCATAAAGTTCTGTTTCATCGGTCCCATCAAGACACTCGGCATTATTACGTTCATCTCGTAGAAATATTAACGGTATACATTCACCACTATACTGACAACGATAACTATCATCGGAACATTCGTTCGTTGCTAATCTTTCACAATATTGTTCATCTTCTCCATTAGTACAATCAACTTTTCCATCACAGATCTCTCGCCAATCAAGACACATTAATTTATATTCAAGATAGCAATTGGATAAGAATGGATAACATGTACCAATGTTGAAATCGGGTAGTTCGTCATAAATCTGTGAGCGTGCCATAAAATTTAATCGAGCAATGTCATGAAATGACAAGGATAATTCTTTATCAAACCTATATTGACATCTTGAACCAAACCATGGTAATGAACAATTATAGAAAATTGCCGTCGGATCTGCATTATTCATGACATAATGTTCAATTAGATCAATTGGTGCTGACCAATTGAATAATTGGTCAATTGTCACATTGTTTTCATATAATTTTTCAAATGTAATGCTATTGAAAACGTTACTAAATAGAATAAATGAGTCTTGTTCGATTAATTCTTCATTTTCTGCTGGCCGTCGACAATAGGGAATCAAATGATAAGTTATACTATCAGTAGTATCGTCATATTTTTCACTATCTGTTGAATAAGCATAAAGACAATCGAATCCAAAATTCAACAATCCAATTTGATCGGAATGATATATCGAATGTTGTGTATGGAATAAAGCGAATAGTTCGAAAAATATCAATAAATGTAAAAGCCTCATGACTTATGTAAAGAAAATAGATATAGGCAAATGTTTTCAATTGTATTTCTGTAAAATCATTTTCTAAAACAGATTGTGTTCGATATAAAAATGCAAAATGACACATCCGAACACCAACAGGAACTGATGTCAATACTTAAATGCATTTTTCGTCTTCATCGTTTAATCATAATCTATTAAACAGCAAATAGTAACATTTGTCTTGCTAATTTATTATCTATTCACATTAGCACTCTTATTGTTAAATACAAAATATAAAACTAGACCAAGAAATCTAAGAGAAATGTTTCTCATTAAAATATCAAAATCATATCGTTCCTTTTCGAACCCTTGTACACCTTCTTAAATTCTTGTTCAATGTCTCTTTCAAAAAGCAACATTCTTTCGGATGTCTCCACGAAATCTTTTGCAAAACAGCTAACTTTCAATAATAGATGAAAAACTTCATTTCCGCAGCGTTCCTGTTTGAAATTATTCACCAAATATTTGCCAGTTAAGACTCTTTCATGCACTTCTAAAAACGACACAACCTGAATTTTGACAAAATGCTCCAATATTGGCAAAACATAATTTGCCATTTGAGTATATGTCTCTGTATTGCATAAATCGAACACATGATCGATAATATCTCGATCGAATACTTTGAGTAAGGTCATAAATGATTCGTCGTTACGGAATGAGGCATATCCGAGTAATTTGAGCATTTCAACAAGTTCCGTTGTGAACACAGCAAACATGGCATATAGTTCGACTAGTGAATTGCTGTCATTTTGATTATTCATGCAACAACGATAAAGTTCTCTTTTAAACTCCATCTCACCATGTTTTCCTTGCCTAATAGCGTCTCGAAATTCATTCAATTTCCTTCTGCTGATTGCCAATGCAATTTTGATATAATCAGGAGCTGGCTCGTATAAATACTTGCAGTTAGCCGTACTATATAGATAATTGAATAAATCGTTGATGAATGTATCCATCAGACCCGATGAGTATTGGTGCAAATGATCAATGACTTCGTTGTCGAACATTAACCCGAATTCAATTTTTGTATTATACAATGTTTGTTGTAATAATATTTTGTATTTCATTTCAGCTGTCAAATCCGATTTATGTTTATACCAATTCGCTATTGTATTACGAGTTATGTTCGAATGTTCTATAAAATTTAAACAAAATGTCGCTCTGACAGCGATAAGATTTGAGTACGACGCTTCTGCAGATAGCATAGTAAGAGCATTTCTCAGCTCATCTGAAACATTCTTCTCCATGTTTAATTTGTCTAAAACAAGTAGATAATTTCCGTATGCTAATAAACAAACGACCAAAACATCGTCTGAGTATAAATTTCTTGACGAAATCACGTTCTCTAAACACGTGATTGTATCACTTTGTAAAGCAAGATTTTCTTTCAGTCGAGCCAGTTCCTTGGTCATTTGAGGACCACGAACACATTGCATAGAAATACGTTCGGCTTGTGAACGAATATCAGTGTATACAGAATTGAAAACGTACACGATGGCTTTCTGAACTACAGATCTTCCATGATAATCAAAAAATTGTAAGACATTTTTGTATAAGTTTACCACAAAGTTGTCTGTTGTTGCTTTTCGAGTACATTTCATAAGCATCCATTGAACTATGACGATGAGATAATTGTCTTTGACGAAGCCTTCGAGTTGTATCCGATCGATTATACACGCATAAAGATGTTTAACGAGATAGATTAGTAACTCTTGGGAACAATCATTGATGATTGAGAAGAATGAACGAGGTACACTCTCCTTGATCCGTTCAATTTCTAATTCCAAACATAATTGCAACATATCTTCAGAGTAGATCGAAATGTAGATCTTAGAACAGTAATGGGCATTTTTATGTAAAACGAATAAAAGACGACGGACAGCCGTTGAATTCATCAGACGAGAACTGATCAAATGCTCAATGATCGGTTTCAAGATGAATTCAGTATCAACAAGTAGCATCTCGTCAATCATTTCAGTCTCGTCAGCAATGTCTGAACCTTCGATAATCAGCTGTAATGCAGCATAATAAGCAAAAAATCTGGAATCTTCACATGTTCGATAGTTCAGCCATTTGCAAACCTCTAAAAGCCCTGCTTTATCGACCATCAAACACTGAGACACATCTTGAATAACTCGAGAGAGTTCGAGTTTGTTCAACATATACAGATGATCTGTGATCCACGATGCTACTCTTGACGTCAGCAATTTCTTGACTTTTGATGTTTCATTCCACAGTTGATCCAACTCTTCTAAAAACGAAAGTTTATTCGTATCATTATTCTTGATATACATTGTTAAGATTTGATTGTCGAAGCATAATTCAGTTAAATACATCGATGCTAGTAATGTGGTATTCAATGATTCAAATGAATTCGTATTTGCGAAGTAGTTGTGAAACATTGAGGAATGAAGTTGCAGAAGATCAGATACATTGTTTGTTCGTTTTATAAACTGCGATAAACATGACGACAGTTGTGGATTGTTAAGACTTTGTAATGCGATAAATGCTACCTCTTGGCTTTGTTCATCATTGGCATAGTCATTGAATTTTTCTGCAATTATATTTGACATCTCTTGGTATTCTATATGAAACAGACGATTAGTTGAATAACACTGAACAAATAAAACAACTGCTGTTGGTAATGGAAGACTCGGTAATAGATATTTGAGTAAAATTGTCATTTCCCACAGTAACTTCTTTCTTTCTTCAATTTCAAATATCAAAGGATCTTTCATGTTCAAGATAATACTCAAAGCCATTATTCGTAAAACTGGATCGATGATACTGCTAATTGTAGAATACACTTCGTTGTTGTTTACATCAGAAATGTAGCTCGTTTTCGTTGGATAGGAATCATTTAAACGATGTTGAGCTTGAAAAAGCCGTGCTAGAGAAATCGATGCCGCGAAAAGTTGTTCATCCGTTATCTGATTTTGTGCTACTCCCTTTGCTTCGAAAATCCGTTGTCGCTCCTCGTCAATGAGTTCTTCATAATCTAGTGGTTGATCAAGAAGAAACGGATCCAGTAGATTACAGTCTTCCATTACTTGGAAAAGTTTCTTATAATTTTTATTTTTACGTTGAACAGGGTAACAATTGGTTCTAAAGTGTATCAAAGCATAATTCTCTAGCATATGCTCTTCCATTAATATATATAAAACCGGTAAAGTCAGACCGAAATTCAAATTGTTCTTATCAACATTATCTAAGTGTACTAAGCATTGTGACAGGAATACAACAAATGGTAACGAAGTTGATGTGATGATTGTGTGACGATACAGTGCTTGCAAAGATTTCGGAAGAAAATTTAGTAACCAGGGTGATTTCTCTTGTGAATTAATGTTTACAATGATGTCAAATAACTTTTCATCGCTGAATAGATGAATAAATTTCGGTTGATGTGAAAAATATTCATCATCATCATCATCGTCTCTGTTAAGAATATTGATTATATCCCATAATTCAAGTTTTTCCCACGCGGACGCACATGCAACTGATAAAGCTATTCGTTGTTCATCGGATTGACCAGGCTGTGACACAAGCACGTTCATGATCGATTCGATTTCTGATTTAACCACCGAAGTATCATTGCAGCCGATATCATCGTCCGTGAAGGTATGCAATTTTTTCCCGAAATAGAACCATGTTCGTTTAAGTCTATCAATTGCTACTGTTAATGCTTGATATCCATCATAAGTTGCATAAATTGACGGGTGTGAAACACCTTGCAAGCAAATTAATGCAACAAAACTATCGATAGTATCATTTGAAAGATCGGATGGCAATGATTTTTCAATATTATTTTCATATTCTTCGATAAGCTTTTGAGTTTTGACCGCATGAGACTCCTCGCTATTGTCGAAATAGTCTATAAGAGGTGCGATAAGCAATGATTCACAATGCATTTGTTGTGTCGAAAAAGCCACCTGCAGCGCGCCCGAATCATTCCCGAAATATATTCCACCGTATAATGCAATAATGACGGAGAGAATCAGCGGATGGATGTCGGATTCAGAAATGTGATTCGATCGAAGACATGACTGCAAATCTTTCCTAAAGCATCGATTGGATAATTGATATAAATTAACCGTTCGTCGAAATATTTGATCGATAATGAACTCAAATGATGGATTTATTTCTCGAAAAGACCATAGTTGTTGATAAATAATAGATTTGATTTGTTTTCCATCTGGCAAATGCTTTTTATCAAATTTACTAGCGCTGCCCATTAAACTTTGACAGAAATTCGCAAGACGTTTCTCATCCTGTAGGTGCAATCGCATATAATCGATTATCATTTTTCTATCAAGTTTCAATACACTCCGTATTAAATACGTATTCCTAATTGTGTCCGATGGATGATCAGCTATATTATTAAGTGCAGTGAAAATGATTGAGTCGAACGGTAAACTTTGCATATCATCGAATACTTCGAATAAAAGAAGTGTTCCAAACGGGATTGAATAGCCTTTAGTTGGATTAACAAGTAAAGATAAAACTTTGTTATAATCATTCGACGGCCATTTCCAATTAACCCAACTAATTGCTAAACAAATTGACTGACGAAAACGAGGATGAATAATAATTGAAAGGATACGTTGTGCAATTTCATCGGCCGAACCTTTAACTAAATATTGCGCAATGAAATATTCTTGAAATGACAAGTGAAGAAAGCCAAAGATCTGTAAGCCTCGCTCAGCAAAGATACCAACACCCTGTTCCAATGATGAAATGAAGTTTTTCACCTGTTCGTTTAACGTTCTTCGATCATGTGATACTCCTTGTTGTTTTAACACCAATCGACATAAACTTGTCATATCGAATTCATCGATAAGACCCGACGATGAGTTCAAATGAAGGTAACCCGCAAGTGCGATCAGAAACTCGATTAGCACAGTTTCTGACATATTCAACTGTTGATTTCTCCACCGACGTAACGATATTTGAATAGTATGATCATAAACTTCAATGGGCGATTTTGGATGGAAACTGTCAGGTGATTGAAAGACAAAAGTACATATCATGGACAACAAGGAAGGATTTTCCATTAGCACTTGTGAATAATTTTTCAATATTGATTGCATAGCTTTCCAGCGAACATCGGAAAAATTTTGCATATCTTTTTCACTAAGTTTAATACCTTCATTCGATAAAATATCTTTCACTTGTTCGCCTATTTGTGACATCCATTCTCTTATAAATGCATTCGCCTGTTGATAATTCATCAATGATAACGAATAATGTTCAATAAAAGGACCAACAAGTGGACAAAATTGATAGCCGACTTCACGACTAGTGATAATTATTTGATTTCCACCTGATTCACCAGGTGGTCTTACTTCAATGATGTTCTTCTCGTACGATGGTCTCTTATTGAACATTCGATTATCGAACGCTGAGAAGAAATTCGACGCATGGACATGTTCGCCAATAAAGTCCCTTACTAGCTGAACGATCTCGCCTCTTTGTTCGACTTCAGCTATTTCATCAAGTCCATCGAGTAGAATTAAAGCATGACCTTGCCGAATCAGTTCTTTTAATACAGCTTCATTATCATCCTGATAATGTTCGGAAAACCATGTGTGTTCGCCAATATAATCCATTAATGTTTTATCTTGGTGTTTTTCAAGCCATGTTGCAAATTCTCCGATGCGAATTAAAATCGGAATACGAATCGGTAGTTCGCGACATTTTTCCAAAGCGATTTGATCACGACCACAAAGAGCGAATTCAGCAAATATACGTGTAATCCATCGAAGGAGCGTTGTTTTCGCACCGCCTGGATCACCCAATATCACAATCCATCGATTGTATTCAAGCACATTGGTAATTGTTTCCACTTGGTAATCTTCTGGGTCTATGTTTGTGTCTTTCACTGAAGGTAAGAACGTAGCGAGACTAGTGCCGACCCTGTTGTACGTTCCATCGTCTGTAGTTAATGGAATCTTTAATGGTTTAAATAATTTATCCGAACAGTCGAAATCAATTGTAACGTATTTTAGCTTCACGTTTAAGTTGTGACGAATTTCCGAGGTGATGGAGTAAGTTTTGAGAAAGGAGTCGTCAATATTGTCTACCAAACCTTGAACCTGGATTTTGGAATGAAGCGAAACACATTTCTCGAGGTATTTAATGAAGAACGTCTGATTTTCGTGTAGAAACTGTTTCAAATTCTTTCGATTTCCTAACGCTTGCTGAGTATTTAATTCACGTTCTTCTAACGCTTTTTCGAAGCGCATCACTTCATTAATTCGTTCGCGGTTGTTAACTGTGTGTTCATCACTATTTGATTTTTTCAATATATGAAAGATATCGTCGTACAGCTCAATCCAAACGCCGCGTGAAAGCGATTCGTTGTAATCCATCAATCGTTTGAGTCGTCGACAAAACAATCGTGTCAATTCGTTATTAATCGAAGCTGTTTCACGTAGACAATTAAGAAGATCACGAGTCTCCAACAATCTGAATCTCGTCGAATCTAGTTCGAATGATGGTAGGGATTCGAAAACTTTATTGACGGAATCTATTGCACGTTTGATAACTTCATCCATGATCAGCAGAACAGTGGATAAGTGCAGTGGTGAAATGAATTAGTAATTTCTAAAGGATAAAAATTTATCGGAAATAAATGGTCTTATCGTTCGAAATATTTACACGAACTGTACAGCACTTCAGTTCTTCATTTAGATGGTCTTAGAGTTTGATTACACTTGAAGACGGGGCTACAAAAAGAAATAATCACTGATTTTGCTCTTACTTACAACAGTGAACTTTAGAGAGTTGTACACAACGGACTAGACATACATTTTTTCCTGACAACAAAATAGCAGAAAAATCGATTCTAACCGACGACTTCAATAAAACGAAAGCAACTATAAGAGTATTAATTATACGATCGACTATGTTAATCATCAATTCTAATATAGGGCAGCCGAAAGAAATTAGTTTTTATTTATATACTCCCTTTCAATCGTCAATTTGTGCCTGTCTGAATTGCCCTTTTGATTCAATATCTCGTAAACAAACGGAAGAAAAAGAAAACACGTGGGATGCCTTTTATTTTTCGAATGATAGATATCAGATTTATTATTCTCTTTCTTTCTTTCTTTCTTTCCTTCCAAGTACGAAAGAACGGTTTACATGGCAAAGAGATTGAAATATACGTCTTTTTTCTGTTTATCCGCACGCGTATTTCTCTCTCGACAGTGACCTCTTCTACAGACGAGAGAAAACAAGAATGTTTTCATATGTTACACACTACGAATCGCTTTAATCACTATTCATAGTCGCGGTGATCTGCTAACAAAATATACAAAACTTTGTTTCCAGACGTTGACTTGTTGCCTGTGCAAAAACAAATTTGAAAAAAAAGCTCATTTGACTAGTAAAGACAGATCATGAATTTAAGGCGTCAAGTAATAAGACGACGAAAAGGAAAATGTCACTCTGTTCAAAGAATCATACACAAAAAATTGTCTATCAAATGATAGTATAAAACTGCCATTTTGTATTCAGTACACAAGAACAACGAATAGATCCATATTGAACTAATCGACTTTCGGTAATACCGCTATTGTTTGTATCTGATTATAGTTAATAAACGTGCGCTGATGGATATTGATTGCCGGATCCATTTGACGATGTCCAACTTTAACTAAAAGAATATTTTTGACTTGTTTATTTGTCAAAAGTATTGCTATCGAATCGAAAGCACATCCCGATGCAATGCTGAGATGAACGACAAGAATTAATACTGGTGAGTAATAGCCCATTTGATGAAATATTGTCGAGGAAAAATATGGTGTACCACCAATGACGAGAATACCAGTGTAAAGAAAGATCTTTTTGAATACCTTTATATTTCGTTTTGCTCGCGAAGTACTTAGATTATTCGTACGAATCCTTTTCTGTTG